AAAGCATCAGCAGATTCTATTTCTTTTAGGGTGAGTGGTAGAGTGTTCCAGAGATAGAGGGCTGCAGCAGAGAACGCTCTTGATCCCATGGCTGTTTTGACGTGAGGCTGTGTAAGCAGTAGGGAGTTTGACGAGCGGAGCAATCGGCTTGGAACATGGAGATGAATGAGGCTTTTAAGATATTGAGAAAACATGTTTTCATAGATGCAGCTGTGTGTAAGAAGAAGAAGTTTGTATTGAATTCTGCTTGATACAGGAAGCCAGTGAAGAGTTTGGAGGATAGGTGTCACAGTTTGGTAGCGTGGTGCACGGGCAACAACACGGGCGGCTGAATTCTGAATCCGTTGGAGTTGTGAAAGGAGCTGTTGAGGAATGTTGTAATAGAGGGAGTTGCAGTAATCAAGTTTAGAGAGAACAAGGCTGGTCGTTAGAAGCTGGGCGGTGTTGAAGTCTAAAAGGGTTCGGATCTTGCTAATATTGAAGATATGGTAGAAGCATCCTTTGCTGAGTGATTTGATTTGATTTTCTAATGACATTGTTGATTGAAAGATGACACCAAGATTTTTTTGCAGAGTCAGACTGCATGATAACATCTTGTCCAATTTCAAGAGATAAACTGTCAGGCACTTTGGAAAGTTGATGCCTGGATCCGATGGTTAAGAACTCAGTCTTTGTGTCATTCAATTTCAGAAAGTTCAAGGTCATCCAGTCTCTTATTTCAGCAATACATTGTTGTATCTTCAGTGCACAACCTTGAGCAAGGTTAGGCTCCGCTGACAGATATAACTGATTGTCATCAGCATAAAGATGAAATTTCAGTGAGTGCTTTCGGACAATGTCACCAATGGGAAGAATGTACAGACAAAACAGTAAAGGTCCAAGGACAGATCCTTGGGGAACGCCATAGTGGAGTGGTGATGCAGTGGAGCGTACAGATTCCACTTTGACGGACTGTGACCTATCAGATAGGTAAGAACGTACCCAGTCAAGGACAATTCCATCGATACCGACTCTGACCTTCAGACGCTGCAGAAGAATTTGGTGATCAACAGTATCAAAAGCACTGGAGAGATCCAAAAGAACAAGGAGAGTCACCTGACGCTGGTCCATGGCAGTCATGATGTCATTGTGTACGTGGACTAGCGCAGTCTCTGTACTGTGCTTTGACCTGTATGCTGATTGGTAGGGCTCCATCAAGTCATGTTGCTGAAGGTGTTCCACAATTCTGTTTGCAACTATCTTCTCGAGACATTTATACAGAAAGGACAAATTTCACACTGGCCTGTAGTTTCTGAAATTGTCTGCATCAAGGGTTGGTTTCTTCAACAGTGGTGTGATCACAGCCTGTTTATAGACACTTGGTACTTCACCACAACTAAGAGAAGTGTTGAAAATGTCCAATACAGCTGGTAGTAGATGAGAAAACGTGGATTTTGTGAGCCAGGTGGGCAGAACATCAAGAGATGATGTTTTCACTTTTGCTGCAGAAACGACCAGCTTCAAATCAGGACCTGTAAGAGTTCTAAATGTGGTGAGTGGCTGTCCTGTGAAAGGAACCTCAACAGAGACCATGGTGCACAGTTCCTGTCTACTTTGCAAATCACTCCGAATGTCTTCAATTTTCCTGGAGAAGAACGTCACAAACTCCTCTGCTAAGTTCTTCAGATCACTGTGTTCAGGAAGACAACAGTCGGAATTTCGGTTGAGGAGGTTACTGAGGAGAAGGTGTAGTTGCCGCGGATTGTTTTTACTCTCCTTAATGTTTTTCGAGATGAATGCCTGCTTTGCGGAACGTAATTCACTGTTCACCATATTGCGAGCATGGCAATACATTTGACGATGAATTTCTAGGTGTGTTTTTCGCCAAATCTTTTCAGCGGCACGGCGCTTCTTTTTCAAGTCACGGATATTGTCATTATACCATCCTGTATTTGGGCGTATAACAACCACTCTGGATTTCAGGGGTGCATGACTGTCAAGAATCCGCTCAAGTGTTTCATCAAACCTGAGGACTTTGGCATTCACATCTGTTGCATCAGAAACTCGGTCAAACACCTCCGAGGTGTCAATATCAAATGCAAAATCATCGATGTTAATGTTTCTAGTCTTTCGATATGAGAGTACCTTGCGTGGTGGCATTGGCTTACTCAGATCAAAAATACATTTAATAACAAAGTGATCAGAAATATTCTCATCAGTAACTGTCACACTCTTCACTAATCCACAGTCTTCTTTGGTGAGAACCAAGTCCAAGATGTGACCTGATTTATGGGTGACAGCGGAAACATGTTGTTTGAGAGTAAAACTGTTCAAGAGATCACAGAACAATTTTGAATTGGAGTCTGAAAGTGAATCAACGTGGATATTGAAATCACCCTCAGAAATCAGCGGATACAGACCTTTATTACCCACGTGGTCAACGTATGGGTAGTTGCATACTAATCTCGTACGTCACACGTGTGTCGTATCGCGTTGACCTGTGTCGTAACGACTTGACCTGAGATTCTAACGATTTGATTGGATAACCGATGACCTCTCAGTTAGGTCACGTTGTGACGGAACTACTTGTTCATTCATAACATACACGTGAATTCATTCATTCTACAACTTAGATGCATTGTGGGAATGTAAACATTGCGAAAGTTGCCGTGTAGCTGTTTAATTGTGAGTCGAACTGAGACATTATATCCGTCGAAAAACATAAACGCAATGTTTCCACCAGTGATGTTAGCCGAGTGCAGCAGTTGCAAACCAAGAAACGGGGTGCTACGGAGTAGTTTATTGTAGGAGGCTGTACGAGAGGCGATGACAACTGACATGCATCGTGACGTCGGTTACCAAGGGGACAGACGAGAATGGCGTAGTGACGTCAATACAGTGTGACGCCATGCAAAAGTGTACTACAGAACAAAATTCTTCCGCAACCTCTTTATGAAACCGGTTTCGGTTTGAAACCATAACAATAACAAAAATACGCTATTTTGTCAATTCAATGCATGTAAGACGTGGGTAATAAATAAAATACCACACTCGGTCTCATTACATACGAATTATACGAAACTTGTGCCCTTCCTATGGTTTCTGACCTCGCTTTTGAAGGGCACAAGTTTCGTATAATTCGTATGTAATGAGACCTCGTGTAGTATTTTCTATTTAGTATGGGACTGTGTCTGGATAAGCATTGTGTTTAACGTTCTCTGCCATCAATACTACTCCAAACAGGCTAAGGACGTGGTTCTTACTTAATAGCCGGATGCACATACCAGGGGTGTAAAAAGAAGTTATTTTTCATTTTACAATCGCCATCGCGGTCATATAAAGGTTTTATTATGTACAGAAGTGTAGTCGGGTGTCAACATTAAAAAAACACGAAAATGTACATTTCAAACTGCCTTTTACACTGACACTTTCCATTTGTATGAAACGTGATTGACGCGAAATGTATGTCAACTTGTAACCACACGCATACCTGTGTAGGCACGATGAGTGCAAACACATCTTCAGTCCTTATTCACTTTGATTAGTCAGTTAACTGTGTTCAACTTAAATCCAGGTAAAATCACAGGTGAAATGAATATTCATATTTACTACCTATGGACTTCAGTTTCGGTAATGAAATGTTTAAAAAAACACATGGGGAAAAGAACATTTTAAAAAAATAACAGAAAAAAATATTTCCTTTCTATGTTAATAAAAACAAGTATCAAATAGTCTTATTCCGATTTCCAAGACATTGATATGCAATGATTAAAAGAGTACAAAAAACAAACGTCAAATGTAAGCTAAACTGTGTATGTTAATAGCTATATTTATTAGGTAGTTGTGTTACATACACAATACACAAACGTATATCAGTTTTTCAAAAATTTGAATTAAAATAAAAACTAATCAGGGAAGGGGATTAGTTAGAGAAGCCATTTTGTGTTCTCTTGATCGGGAAGAACAGCGTTGCTCTACCTCAATAGGCCTCGTCAACTCGATATCTGGACACACAGTGATAATGAACTGACAGCAGATCTACCCGGTCCTAAGAGTGGTTGAGTAAGGATTTACGCCGCTTTCAGCAATGTTCCCAAAATATCACGGCTAGGTGCTCCAGAAATGGGTTTCTGTACCCATGTAGGGTCTCGAACTCGGGTGTTCGGCGTGATGCGTTTATGTACCCATGTGGGGTCTCGAACTCGGGTCTTCGGCGGGATGAGCAAACGCTTTACCCACTTGGCTACCCCCACCGCCGATCAAACCCATGTGTAGATCAAGGGGATGGGTTTCAGCGGAATATGTCTTTGAGGGCACTGCATGATAAGGTTCTCCTTCGAGGCGGAATAGACCCTCAGTATCCAATGTTTGTCGTAAGAGCTGGTTAACTTGGATCGGGTGGTTACCATGGTAACCTGGCTAATCGCGTGATACCATGTCCCGATGGCAGGTTGTTCATGCCGTCAGCCACTTGTTTGAATGCGGAATGTAGAGAATGAAGGACTCACAGACAAACAACATGACACGAGGGGTCATTGTAGTGACTTCGTGGTACTCTACATATCACAGTTGAAATGTGTTAGAATTGGGTTTTTGGTTGGTAAGTTCTTTGGAGATATCACGTGTTGAAGTAGTATCACACCTCGTCGTTTTAGCCACCGAGATCACAATAAACATCACTACCCAAAAACATATATGTGTCTGTTGAACAATCTCATTCAAATAAGATATATTGCTCCAATACATGTTAAATGTCGAGAGGTATCACATCGGAGTTAAAAATCAGCTTACTTAGTTCATCCCTAAGGAGGGCGGTGAGATAGCCTAGTGGTTACAGCGTTCGCTTGTCACGCCGAAGACCAGGGTTCGATTCCCCACATGGGTACAATGTGAGAAGTCCCTGTCTGGTGTCTCCCGCCGTGATATTGCTGGAATATTGCTAAAAGGGGCATAAAACCATACTCACAGACTTATCCCTAAGGATGCTTCCCAAACTGAAAAAGAAGAGTCCACAAGTCACGTTTGATATGGGGATACATTTATTCTCTTGATCTCTTCTCTCAGAAATATTACCTACATCCATGTGAGCATCTTCAAGTCTACATGTTGGCCTCTTGGTTCCTCGTTGAATGTACGTTAAACCTCTGCATACATGGTATACACAATAACAACTGACAAGGGTAGAAAATGGCACATACACTAATGATAAACAATTTCCTGCCAATCAAAAGCTTTGCACGGGCAGTGAAAATGCTACCGTTATAAGGCAAGAAGTAGCACGCAGTCAGTGGCGCGTTATGATGAAATCATTAACGTGCAAACTGTGAAACTGGGTGTAGGCATCCCTATGTCAAGAATGGACTGTTCTATGCGTAAAGAATGGACTGTTCTATGCGTAAAGAATGGACTGTTCTATGCATCTCATTACACAACCATGATACAGAAACTATGTTTTCCTTACGATACAGTGTTGATCTACAAGTTCTCCCTACGTGCCTGTACAACGACATACTGCCGGTCCACAATAAGACTAAAGGTAAATATCTACCACCCATGTTAAATTGTTGCATATCACATACCGATGCTTACATGAATATACTACATTTAGCATAATAGTAGTATGCATGTTTCAGTGAAGTCAATACGTATCAACTGTAGACTGTTAGCATTGAGTGGTTTAAGTGACCGCTGTTAGATTTAACTAATAACACTGAAATGTATGAAAACCGTTTTAATAAACTTTCAGAGACTACGATTCCTTTGAGACGCTGAAAAACATATACGTACACAATTCTGTTTATAAGAACACATTCACAGTCAAACTACAAACATTTGTAGATCTAACAAACCGATAACAAATGAAGATCTGTTTCATTCAATACTGCATATTTCTTTGGTTCAACACGATTAAAATCAATCGGAAAGGCACCTTGTATATATCTTAAGCACGTCACCATGGTAACAGCAACAACAGCATCCCATGTTACTGACACCTGCTTTATGATTTGATATTGTCGGGATAGTTGCACACTTCGATCAGGTTGTCATCCGGGTCTCGGAAGTAGACCGAGGTGATTGGTCCAATGGCGCCAGTCCTCTCTACCGGCCCCTCCATGATAGTGACGTTGCAGTTCTAAAATTCAAGTGACTGATTGAGATGCCATGTAAGACTGCTGGACCGTTTGAAGCCGAGGGATACAACTCTAAACAGCCACCCTCTTAAGCACTAAATCTTAAAACTTTAAATGACTAATATACCAAACACTGATGTTTGTAGTGTGGTTGAATGGTTCCTATTCGAGGTCAAGTGGACAAATTCAAACACTCACTGAGTACTTCACAAGGATAACCAGCCGATATTTTGGAACCCCTTTGCAATAAACACTTATCCTTTTGTTACACTCAATGACAAGTCACGCCGAAGGCCCGGATTCAATTCCTCACATGGGTACAATTTGTGAAGCCCATTTCTGGTGTCCATGCCGTGATATTGCTGGAATATTGCTAAACTCGGAGTAAAACCACACTCACTCACTCACTCACCCAATGACATGATAATACCCCAAACTCATAATTTCAATTCCATGCATTGACAGAAATATATTGCAAAAACTGCATACAAAGAAAAGGTACCAAACAACGAAGTTGGGGCACCTGTGTGCCATTAAGAGCCACACATATTTTAACCAATCAGCTCAACCAAACTGATTACTTCTGTTCTATATTTCATTTGGTGATCATCTGTTGCATTTGGTGATTATCGTAGGACACTATATAGACGAACACGAATACACAATTCAATTGAGAAAGTGACCAAAGTAAGAATAGTTTTATTTAGGATCACACTTACTGAGATTGGCTAAGTTGGTTCATGTACTGACTTTGTGTGCAGTTGCTTTGGTGCCTGACGCTAACAGGGTGATCCTATCCAAACTTCAGGAGCATGGGATGGGTGATGCAAATGGAGAGTATGTCATCGGACAAATAGTCTGTGTTATCTACGGTAAAACAGATTGTGTCGGTTGGAAGTTCTACAGCTGCAGGTCACGAAAACAGACCAAAATATGTAAACCATACGTATCGTTTTGTGGGTAGGACTTGTGTACGCTTCAATAGCCTAATCATACATGCATACGTAAGAAGCACACATCAACAAGCAAGGCTGCTCCTTATCAATCATAATTGTATGAAAATGCAGACAGGTCACTTTCGACCAGCAAAATGGGAAAATAGTTCTATTCTGTTATTTTTTGCCTTAGTATTAAGTCCTTTCGCGTACTGTTTTATTGTCATAATCAGTGTCCAAGTCCTTTCGTATACTGTTTTATTGTCATAATCAGTGTCCAAGTCCTTTCGCGTACTGTTTCATTGTCATAATCGGTGTCCAAGTCCTTTCGCGTACTGTTTCACTGTCATAATGGGTGTCCAAGTCCCTTCATGAACTGTTGTATTGTCATAATCGGTGTCCAAGTCCTTTCGTGTACTGGTTTATAGTCATTATCAATGTTCAAGTCCTTTCGTGAACTGGTTTATAGTCATTATCAATGTTCAAGTCCTTTCGTGAACTGGTTTATAGTCATTATCAATGTTCAAGTCCTTTCATGAACTGATATATTGTCATAATCGGTGTCCAAGTCCTTTTGTTAACTGGTTTATAGTCATTATCAATGTTCAAGTCCTTTCGTGAACTGATGTATTGTCATAATAAATGTTCAAGTGATTTCGCATACCTTTCGTGAACTGATTTATTGTCATAATAAATGTCAAAGTCCTTTTGCGCTCTACTTATTGTCATAGTCGATGTCCAAGTCCTTTCGTGTACTGGTTTATTGTCATAATCGGTGTCCAAGTCCTTTCGTGTCCTGTTGTATTGTCATAATCAGAGTCCAACTCCCTTTGTGAACTCTTTTATTGTCATTAGCAGTGTCCAAGTCCTTTCGTGTACCGTTTTCTTGCCATAATCAATGTCAAAGTCCTTTCGCGTACTGTTTTGTTGTCATAATCAATGTTCACGTCCCTTCACGTACTGTTTTATTGTCATAATCAGTGTCAAAGTCCTTTCGTGTACTGTTTTGTTGTCATAATCAGTGTCAAAGTCCTTTCGTGTACTGTTTTCTTGTCATAATCAGTGTCAAAGTCCATTCGCGTACTGTTTTATTGTCATAATGGGTGTCCAAGTCCTTTCGTGTACTGTTTTATTGTCATAATCAGTGTCCAAGTCCTTTCGTGTACTGTTTTCTTGTCATAATCAGTGTCCAAGACCATTCGCGTACTGTTTTATAGTCATAATGGGTGTCCAAGTCCTTTCCTGTACTGTTTTATTGTCATAATCACTGTCAAAGTCCTTTCATGTACTGTTTTATTGTCATAATGGGTGTCCAAGTCCTTTCTCGTACTGTTTCATTGTCATTATCAAAGTCCAAGCCCTTTCGTGTACTGTTGTATTGTCATAATCAGTGTCCAAGTCCTTTTGTACACTGTTTTGTTATCATTATCAATGTCCAAATCCTTTCGCGTACTGTTTTGTTGTCATAATCAATGTTCAAGTCCTTTCACGTACTGTTTTATTGTCATAATCAGTGTCCAAGTCCTTTCGTGTACTGTTTTGTTGTGATGATCAGTGTCCAAGTCCTTTCGCGTACTGTTTTATTGTCATAATGGGTGTCCAAGTCCTTTCGTGTACTGTTTTATTGTCATAATCAGTGTCCAAGTCCTTTCGTGTACTGTTTTCTTGTCATAATCAGTGTCCAAGACCATTCGCGTACTGTTTTATTGTCATAATGGGTGTCCAAGTCCTTTCCTGTACTGTTTTATCACATAATCACTGTCAAAGTCCTTTCGTGTACTGTTTTATTGTCATAATCAGCGTCCAAGTCCTTTCTCGTACTGTTTCATTGTCATAATGGGTGTCCAAGTCCTTTCTCGTACTGTTTTATTGTCATAATCAAAGTCCTAGTCCATTCGTGTACTATTGTATTGTCATTAGCAGTGTCCAAGTCCTTTCTTGTACTATTTTACTGTCATAATCAAAGTCCAAGTCCATTCGTGTACTATTTTATTGTCATAATCAGTGTCAAAGTCCTTTCGCGTACTGTGTTATTGTCATAATCAGTGTCCAAGCCCTTTCGTATACTGTTTTATTGTCATAATCAGCGTCCAAGTCCTTTCGCGTACTGTTTCATTGTCATAATGGGTGTCCAAGTCCTTTCGCGTACTGTTTCATTGTCATAATGGGTGTCCAAGTCCCTTCATGAACTGTTGTATTGTCATAATCGGTGTCCAAGTCCTTTCGTGAACTGGTTTATAGTCATTATCAATGTTCAAGTCCTTTCGTGAACTGGTTTATAGTCATTATCAATGTTCAAGTCCTTTTGTGAACTGGTTTATAGTCATTATCAATGTTCAAGTCCTTTCGTGAACTGGTTTATAGTCATTATCAATGTTCAAGTCCTTTCGTGAACTGATGTATTGTCATAATCGGTGTCCAAGTCCTTTCGTGAACTGGTTTATAGTCATTATCAATGTTCAAGTCCTTTCGTGAACTGGTTTATAGTCATTATCAATGTTCAAGTCCTTTCGTGAACTGGTTTATAGTCATTATCAATGTTCAAGTCCTTTCGTGTACTGGTTTATTGTCATTATCAATGTTCAAGTCCTTTCGTGAACTGGTTTATAGTCATTATCAATGTTCAAGTCCTTTCGTGTACTGGTTTATTGTCATTATCAATGTTCAAGTCCTTTCGTGAACTGATGTATTGTCATAATAAATGTTCAAGTGATTTCGGATACTGGTTTATAGTCATTATCAATGCCCAAATCCTTTCGTGTTCTGCTTATTGTCATAGTCGGTGTCAAAGTCCATTCATGTACCGGTTTATTGTCATAATCGATGCCCAAGTCCGTCCGAGTACTGTTTATTCTCATAATCGTTGTGCAAGTAATTTTGCGTACTGTTTTATTTATGGCCAATGTTTGAGGTGTGTCAAGACCGCTATAGTAGTACCTTCAGATGTTCCATGACCTGGTTTAGCTTCGTGTGGGTGATGAAACAGACATCAGCTGACCCCGGAGTCGGGGAACTGGCCTTGGGCTCAAACTCCTTACCACGCTCGTGGAGATTTATCTTAGAAAGGCCGAAGTTGAGCGCTTTACGACCCTGTAACAAAACGTTCATTTATCTTAGAGGACATTTTCCTTTGTTGATCTTACGTGTACTTAGTTCGGTATTCTGTTTTCACATTTAGTCTTAAGTTACGTTCTTTAATCTAAAGGAAAAACACAACTATCTTTAAAAGTACTTTACAACCTTAATCACTATCCTACAAATGTTTAGACCCTAAATGCGTTAATACTACCGAACACAGGTTGTCCAGTGTATAGAGCTCTTACTTTGAATGTAGCGACCTCCATGCCCAGTACCCGCGTGTAGAAGTCCACGGACTTGTTAATGTCGGCAACGGTGATGACGAAGTGGTCAAGACGTTCAATCTTGAAACCGCTGACTGACCGCCTGGCAAATGTCGCAACTGACCCATCCTGCAAGATGAATATATTGACATGATTATCAAAATTTACTTTGACTATCTATATAGAGCACAAATACACATAACGGCGGACACAACAAAGAGCGCCGTGAATGGGGATGAAAGGAGTGACCGAGGGAATCCGCTTTCCGGGAACCTGCTGTACCCCCTCGAGCACGGGAGCGGTGGGGTAGCCAGGTGGTTAAGGCGTTCGCTCGTCACGCCGAAGACCAGGATTCGATTCCCCCATGGGTGCAATGAGTGAAGCCTATTCCTGATGTCCCCTCTATGTTATTACAGGAATATTGCTAAAAGCGGAGTAAACCCAAGACACTCACTAGATCACGGTGTTATGGGTATCGTTGAGAGAAATCGTACCAAGGTCTTTGGCGTTGAAAGCGAAGGCCTTAACCACTAGGCTACCCCACCGCTCCCGTGCTCAAGTGGGTAGAGCAGGCTGTATATTACCTAATACTTCGTGGCATTCGTATGCTTATATTTTGGATCACAATTCCTTACATAGGTTGAGTGGGTTATATCGGATGGGATTCAACCCCAAAAGTACTGCAATTTGTACTACAGGTGCCCTGTAGACAAGATCTATGGTAAGCCAATGTTAAAGAAAGGGAGTTACGTCCTCATTGGACCCGTGAAGGTCCGGCTTAGAATGAACCTTGAGTAACCCATGCTTGTCGTAAGAGGCGACTAACGGGATCGGGTGGTCAGGCTCGCTGGCTTGGTTGACACATGTCATCGGTTCCCAATTTCGCAGATCGATGCTCATGCTGTTGATCACTGGATTGTCTGGTCCAGACTCGATTATTTACAGACCGACGCCATATAGCTGGAATATTGCTGAGTGCGGCGTAAAACTAAACTCACTCACTCCGTCTTCATTGTATGTTATCATCCCTGTGACCTTACGAAATGTATCAAGCCCCCAACACTCGAAAATAAATTTGTTGTTCAGGCTCTGACATTTGGTGTATCGTGTCATGGGTGATTGTATGCAACGTGTAATCGAAGCCCGATGATCACAGCTCATGATTTGCCTGCAGTGACCAGATTTGCGGATCCAGAGTGAAGCGTTACATGACACTGGGGGTTATTGCTGATTGCGGTGATAAAATTGACTCTCTCACTTCCTGGCAGGAAGGCGGGCAATTTACAAACCACCAAGACTGCGGCATAAAACAGCACATTGGTTGACACATGTCGTCGCATCCCAAATGCGTAGATCGATGCTCATACTGTTTTCATGGATTGTCTGGTCCAGACTCGATTATTTACAGACCGCCGCCATACAGCTGGAATATTCCTGAGTGCGGTGTAAAACTAAACTCACTCGCTCACATCGGTAAATCGACTGGTGCATATTTTGTCATAATCCGATGAGCCTTATATATTTTGTCATATTCAGATGAGCCTTATATATTTTGTCATATTCTGATGAGCCATATATATTTTGTCATATTCCGATGAGCCATATATATTTTGTCATATTCCGATGAGCTATATGTATCATCTTATTATTACACACATTCAAGCGTTATACATACAATTGCAATAACTGAAGGTACGTATTTAGTCAACCGCATCACGGTCGTATTCATATCACGAACAATACATTTTTTTGACCTACTTAGTTTTGATAAAATATCAGTCGCGTCGTTACAGCTGACTCATCCCATGTATTAAGCTATATGTACATTGTTCCCAGGACTGCGAGCATTAACTGACAAGTTTGAAGCACAGCTTGTCACAACGAAAATAGGTAAGATGCATACATACAGTGCCAGGTGGTCACTATCACACACCATGCGACCAATGGTAGTGTTACATATTACAATTAACTATAGCATAAAACCTGAGACAACGTTTCCATGGGTATTTCATAAGAATATGACCTCCAGTAGTCTGACAAAACTGAACGGACTGAACATACCTGTACGCTTGTTGTCATTATGATGCCGAGATCTATGTACTTCCACCTGCACTATTCACTTCCACCCGAGAGACTCCGAGCGACATGACCTAGATCGAATCGGTATTTTGATTCGTTCTACAGTACCGGGCAGAAACAGGCTATCCCTGAATACCGGTTGTTTGGTCATGACGTATATGTCCAAATATCGGAATACATAGAGGCGTAACAAAGATTTCAAAAGACCTTTCAAAAACATAGAAATGTGTATGCTACATGCAATCCAGCTAAGGCTTCATCAGTTCTCCGTAGACTCGTGATCAACCCAGCGAACAGTGTTAATGTACAAAAATCTATATATGTTTCCACTAGGTAATATTTTAGTGTGACAAATAGACATACATCATACACATTTCTTTTTTTGAGCACGTTAGTTTTTGCTTCTTTGGCAGACTTAAATATGTGACCTTGTCGATTGTCGTATCAGTTAATGTTTCGCTCTCAATCATTTTTATTTACCCCGAATCGACTATTTAGAGGCCTCTAGAATATTGCTGAATATGTCTTGTTAACCCGTCAGTGATAGACCTTGATGCTATTTGTTGCGTCACCAGCCCCTGTTGTGTAGCGCCACTAAGACTCCAGTGCCAATAATCAGGGTTACATATCTCATAAAAAGCAATAATTGCGCTTGTGCCGAGAGGGAACTCTCGTTGTTGCCAATGTTGGTCGTCAATGTCGACTCACGTACCTGCACAATTAATCTGAAACAATTCGTTTTGTATTATTACCTTAAGAAAATGTAAGTTATAGATATGTCTGATATCTGGATGGGTGAATGTATCTCGGAAATGATGCAGTGTTTGATAATGGCGATGGCGATCTAACACGATCGCAGTGGCCATGTACAACTTGCTCCTATGGCCAGTACTGATTGTTAGTGAAGCACGACCGTCAAACATTTTACCGTTATGATTACGGTATATTTTCTAACAGTACAACTTAACATTTACGGTCGCATAACTGGTGGCGTGGCTGCCAACAATTTACCGTTATGATTACGTTATATTTTCTAACAGTACAACTTAACATTTACGGTCGCATAACTGGTGGCGTGGCTGCCAACATTTTACCGTTATGATTACGGTATATTTTCTAACAGTACATCTTATGATTTACGGCTGCATAACTGATGGCACGACTGCCAACATTTTACCGTAATATTAATGCCATAGCGTAATATTAATGCCAGTAGGCCATAACATTCACGGTGTGAACTTGAGACATGGCATCCAACCTTGTACCGTAAAGGTTACGGTAAGGGTTTACAGTATATAGACGGTTCATTCTCAATATGCCGCTGAGTTGTCAAGTTTGGTCTTCATGTTTAGAATGAGAAAGTAAACTAATCTTTGCGTCGTACTGTAACGACATATCGGAAGTCTAGAGTGTGCAAGAAGCTTTGCCTCCTCCTCTCGTTGTTTGTCTTCAAACAGAGACGGCTTTCAACGAGAATTTGAACAGGATGAAAAACGAAATTTCTGATGGGGGCTGAAACGTATGCAGATAACCGAATAGAGCAATGCACCTGGTATTAAGACTCCGTAAACACAAACACAACGTCAGGCAAAGTCTCGGTGCTTTTGGTCAGGAACCGACTGAACTCAACAAGCTACGAGAGAAGCCAAACATTTATTGATTACCAAATCTTGTCGAAAATGAAAAGACATTCTCAGCATATGTAGTGTTTTATTGATGTGGGGACAGACACAGGGGCCTACAACGCACGCACGCACACGCACGCACGCACACACACACACACAAAAACAACAACAACAAACACAAAAACCCAACGGAATCAAGGTATTTATTGTCACTTACTGGGTCTCAGCACTATGTAAAAGCCACTGTCGTGATAGTATGTACTTTGATACCAGTTTTTGTTTGTTTTTGTTTTGCTTTATTATTTTATTCATTTACTTAATTTATTGTATAGGTGGGGTGGGTGGGTGGGATCGGGGTACTTTACAAGCCCCTGTGGGGATAGATGGGTACATACAGGGCATAATCTATAACTAGACACTAGGGAAGTATACATCAGCTAAGGGTTACCTATAACGCTTTGCTGACACTGCTACTGAGCCGTGCCCTCGTCTCCATAGTGGTCAGAGATGCCCAGTGGGCACTATTCTTTACCGCCACGCCTAAGTGGCGATAACGGAAGTGTACAAAGGCCAAAGTGATCAGGTCACAGGTGTGTATTACTATTGTGAACCCAGCACGGCTGCTGAAGGTAGAAATATCAATTTTTATACCATCCCTACCCTAGATGCGTCTATTATGAATTATATCTGAGTGAGTGGGGATAATTTTACGCCGCTCTTGGAAATATTCCCGCAATATCACCGCTTGGGACACCAGAAATGGGCTTCAAACATGCCCATGTGGGGAATCAAACCTGGGTCTTCCGCGTGACGAGCAGCGGACGATTTAACCATCAGACAACCCCACCGCCCCGAATATATCTGAAGCTAGATATAAAAAACATTAATATGGATACGAAATAATGTATCCACTTATGGCTTGTTACACGATTCAGTAATATGCAATATAAGTGAAAGTAACGATATATGTTTATCTGCAGTGCAGTAAATAACTACCATATTCAATGTATGGTGCAGTGTGTATACGCATAAATTAGTCTACCTGTTTAGGTGGGGGCTTACTAAAGACTACCTTATTTAAAGGAACGATTAAAGCACGTTGTAAACAGGTCCCCGAAACTCACCATCTCATCCACTTAATTAGTCATGTAATATATACCCATCTCAATACATCAGACCGCAGTACACATTACCGACACACTAAAGCCACAGCGAGCTCTAATATATGGTTTTAATGAAAGTAACAAAATACATGAATCGTTGACCAGTACCCTAAAAACAATAGTCAGAGTAATATATGTTTCAATCAATACCAGGGCGGTGGGGTAGCCCAGTGGTTACAGCCTTCGGTCGTCACGCCCAAGGCCCGGGTTCGATTCCCCACATTATGTAAATTCACTTTACAAAGTAACGGTGTTCTCTTCATTTGAACATTGCCGCGGAGTTGCGTCCCTTAGGCAAACACTCCTTAGTGGTTTCTAACTGTCGGTTCGCAATGATCGCGTTACTAGGTATGTCACCAGCATATCCGTGGCAGTGAGTTTCAACAAGGCCCCGAAAGGATGAGAATAGACTAACGCTTAGTCTCTAAATATATAATGTTGATAGTAACAAACAAACCCATTTAAATTGAAAAGGAGCCCCTGAGAGACCAGAAGAAATCTAGACTTGTTTCATTTAGGACATTAAGCATTACAGAGAGGGCTAGGCAGTCGGGAATATAATGTGGTTCAGGGACGGTGAAACAGACTAGGATGAGAACTGCATCGCTTCGGGCTTTTCTCACACGCCATCACATACCTAGAATACAGTTCACAGCAAAACCCAAGGAGAAACTATTTGTTTAAACCAGAATCGTTGATAAAAGTTCTGGCAAAAATGTAAATGCAAAGTCACAACTGATGTGATTGAAGAAAGTCATCATTACTTATGACATAATCAAGAAGACATTAGAAATTCTTTTGATATCGGGTCTGTTAGTTCTCAACATTCTCGATATGTTAGACGTTCAACATATTTATATTTACATCCTGAATTGCATAACCTTGTTACAAGGTTTACAGCAATGAGATTGAGACAGTTTCTATGTGCAAGATTATCACGAGAGGAATGTGGTTTGACCTACTTTATAAATAAATAGGCTTCTGGGCCAGATTTACTGCGCGGAAAAACATTGTTTATTAAATCCAGTATTTACAGGAGTTAATAAAGAAGAAACTTTGAATGATATTTAAAACAAAATTTAATTAAAACCAAAGTTCTTAATATCGCATGTGCTGATTAAATACTTTGAAAATAAAATATTGTAACTATATAAATTGTTAAATTCAACAAACAAAGATTGATGACTCGTTACAAAGTCTTCTTGTAATTGCAGCTCTCGTGTACTGTGAGTTTGGTTTACGCAGGTTTCAGCTGTATTCCAGTTATGTCACGTGGGAGGAAAGTCCGAAGTGATGCAGGTCGTGGACATTGACCACGTGCACGTTGTTGAAATCCATGAGCACGGACGGGTGCTGTGAAACCTTGAAATATAATTCGGACGAATCTGAGATTTGGACCCACGATCTTCAGTTCCTGGCGTGCCAAAGGGACGCAACCGTGGACAGCGACTTGCTGTCTTGAAACAGCCTTGTCTTAAATACAGACATTGTCTCTGGTAAAAGTAAGTTTAAATGACTTTGTATGACAGTGTCTTTGGTTTGTTTAGAATAGTCTTTTACGGTCAGATTCATCTACATCATTTAATCTGAGTTCACATTATCATTTGAATATTTTGAATCTAACTCGCTTGCACTGCTATTTCTGCAAAGAGATCAGAGTCTACTTTTGTATCTTTGAAACCGGATCCTAGATATGTAAATATAATTTTTAATTTATTTAATGAAATTTTAACATGTTTGCGATTTGATGTTGCTTTCAAAAGATGTGAAATCCTGAAAATGTGGCCTAGTTGACATGAAAATAGGTCAAGGTAACACGTGACAGGTGCGTGGCACAACAAGTCACGTCCCAATGTTTGAACAACTGAAGGTGTCCGCTCTGTCACACCGCCGGCTTTAACGCGGGGGTCGAATTGCGTTTACTATTTTACATATACAGTATAGCACAAAGTCTATACCGTCCCCGACTGCATACGTATATCAGAGATACAGGTGTTATCTGGCCCAACATACATCGAACATACGATTAAATCCGAATGACAGTGATTCGGACTGAGTCAGCATTTCCAATCCTCGGTTGAATGTAGTGGTTTAGCAAATTTCTGTTATTGATCCGCTGATTTATGGTTTTACAGGTATCTATATGTCCCCAAAGTCGGAGCGCTCATTATCCACTTAAAATATATCAATTGCTGAGATTAAAATTTCACCTTATTTGGCTTTCTTTGGTTTCTTATACCATGGACAATAACTGAATAACATGAGATCTCATGTAAATAAATAACAAATAAATAACCCTGTCTTTTTATATATTCACATACACTGTATTGCATATATATTGTGTAGTCATTAAAAGCGACGATGAAAAGGTAGTTTGGACATTTAAACGATAAATTACAATATTCATACCGTACGCAGTAAATCAGCAGTGCTTTTTAATGAAGGAAGCCGAGGTACTGAATGTCAGAGCTTAATTAACCTTACTACTTTTAAATACATTAAACTGCAACAGCACACAGCGCACAAATGATGTCTGAAAACCTTCACATACCCGTACACATCTCACGCGGCCATGTCGTGATTGACGTGTATCGACAGTGTGGATATGTTGTCAACGGGAGTTTTACGATATATCCAACCCCGCAAATATTCACCATCTAATATTCCTCTGAACTCGGTTTCTCTGAACACTTCAGGTAAATTAGCTGTATGGGTTAAATAAGAAACCAGAGACCATATCAGCAATTAGTCAATGAAGAAACACAAAAATATGGTCATTCGTTCTTGTAGGACTGAGTGATGTGGATACAATGAGCAGAAATATATTTTACAGGGCGTTTTACCATTTCTAAATCAAACGCCCAACTTCAAAGACACAGAAAAAGCCATACCCACTAGTACATCGACATACGTCACACTGTACTCAACGCGTAACCCGGAAGTATAAAACGTGTAAGATGAGATTCGATCTGATTTACAATCACACAACGAAAATGCGATACCGGGCCCATCGTTGGTGTAATAAAACATCACAAACCTACTAAATGCACCGATTTACCTGTAACAGTTTCCTAAACTGCTGGCTGACTAGTCTCTGCCACATGGCTCGGAAGGAGATGCCTGTTTGCCGACTTGAGAATCCACGCTGTCGCTGTTCTCTCCCTATCAAAGGCGCAGTGTGAGCTCCGCGGTGGAATTTCTTGTTCTATATTTAGAACAAGTGCCAGCCGAGGGGAAACCCCTCTTCTGAACTAATCACATGGGGAGTTTTCATGACTGCATAAGACTGTAAAACAATTTTACTAATCACGAGGACAATAAAATACGTTCACTATCTCCTTCTTCAACATTACCATTAACATGCAAGTGCTGTGTGTATAATACTGTTATCAAAATTGTTGATATTGATAATGTGAAAGCGAAAGACCTATTTCCATGTCTAAAAATGTATACATACATGCGCAGTTTGAATTCACTTCCGAAGCACTTGCTGACTATGCAACGTCCAACGCTACGCTATGTGCAAAGGAAGACATGTACACGTTTCCCAACTAGCTGGTCAGAACGCGTGTAAACTCGCTGACCAGCAAGGGTCAACACACCCATTCAGTGTATACTGTCACATATAGAAACTCAACAATGTCGATATGCTTGTTATCGAGCCGGAGGTTTTACATAGAGTACTGATATAGACCAGCCTGTATTCTTCCCTATAAATAGTTAACTCAATAGACGTACGAGCGGGTACCTGTATGCGACTGTGTCTGGATAAGCATTGTGTTTAACGTTCTCTGCCATCAATACTACTCCAAACAGGCTAAGGACGTGGTTCTTACTTAATAGCCGGATGCACATACCAGGGGGGTAAAAAGAAGTTATTTTTCATTTTTCAATCGCCATCGCGGTCATATAAAGGTTTTATTATGTACAGAAGTGTAGTCGGGTGTCAACATTAAAAAAACACGAAAATGTACATTTCAAACTGCCTTTTACACTGACACTTTCCATTTGTATGAAACGTGATTGACGCGAAATGTATGTCAACTTGTAACCACACACATACCTGTGTAGGCACGATGAGTGCGAACACATGTTCAGTCCTTATTCATTTTGCTTAGTCAGTTAACTGTGTTCAACTAAAATCCAGGTAAAATCACAGGTGAAATGAATATTCATATTTACTATCTATGGGCTTCAGTTTCGGTAATGAAATGTTTACAAAAACACATGGGGAAAGAACATTTTAAAAACATAACAGAAAAAAATATTTCCTTTCTATTCTAATAAAAACAAGTATCAAATAGTCTTATTCCGATTTCCAAGACATTGATATGCAATGATTAAAAGAGTACAAAAAAACAAACGTTTATTCGTTCTTTAACAAATGTAAGCTAAACTGTGTATGTTAATAGCTATATTTATTAGGTAGTTGGGTTACATACACAATACATAAACGTATATGAGATTTTCAAAAATTTGAATTAAAATAAAAACTAATCAGGGGAGGGGATTAGTTAGAGAAGGCAGAGAATGGGAAATTGGATAAATACGTTTTGGATTAGGTTAATCAGTTATTCCCATCCCCAATGGAAATCCTATTCATCATGGTTTTATCTTGCCTCGGCTTGTCCTATGTATAATTATGCTTGTTTTCATTGTTAATCATCTTGTTTACCCTCACTCATTGTTATCCCTCATGTACCCTAAATATATGCCGCTGTACCCATCCTCCACCTCATGCTTGAAAACGGTATAAGTATCTGTACCGAAACGTCGCTATTATACAATAAAGAAGTTGTTCATCTATAAAGACTTGTCTTTCCTGTCGTACACACCCTCCATAAGTGAAATAGACATCGTCAGTCGGCTGTATTCAGAGAAACATATATGAATAAATTGTTTATTAACGTGTCACGCATAAAATTACAAGGTATACACACAATAAATATACAAAGATAAAATAGATTATGCAGGGCCTCAATAGGCCGAAGAGACACGGTATAAAACTGTAAAATATAACTTATTTCAATAAGATAAAATAACCGTACAGTACAATGTATATATAAGGTACATAAAATTGTAAAAATATTTAATAAAATAATGACTAGATAGAATTAGTTGAAATATTATACATGCAGTCTGTGGAGACCCCGCCCTACATTGTGGTGATATTATAATGTATATATATCACACTGCCTGCAGAGGCAACGTGACCTCATGTTTCATGAGGCTGCATCGAGGTGAACCGAGGCAAGGACGAGATGCCCTGTGTGCTTTTTACCCAGCAGTTAATGGGTACCCGGTAGGACGAGATGGTAGTGTGACCGCTAACTTTCTACCACCTTAAGTCAGCCCGTGTTACGCTCTTCGGAGTGAGCTGTGAATGAGAAGAGACGAGTGCACCCAGATCCACTGGTTGGGCTGATACTAACGTGAGTGAGTGAGTGAGTTAAAAGTTTACGTCTCGTCGGCATTATTTCAGCCATATAGCGACGATTACGTAGTGCTTTGAGCATAGGCCTGTTTGATGCGGAGGTATAGTGCAATATAAATGACATGGCTAGTTTTGTGGTGATAATAAAAATAAATTTGTGGATGTTCAAAGAGTGTGGTTGTACTGTTGTTGATTTTATCATTATTATTGTCATAAGTAGTAGTAGTAGTAGTAGTAGTAGTAGTAGTAGTAGTAGTAGTAGTAGTCACTCCTGCGAGCATAAACGGACAGTCTCTATAGTGCCTCCTGACACACAGAAAGTAACGGGCTTTCATGTTATTGAAATCAGAGTGGTACACCGGTATTATTTAACCGGTGCCATCCACATACTGCTGGGTGGATTAACAACGTCTGAGATGGTTTTAATCGAAGATGAAATATGTAAGTAGTATATCATATAGTATTAGTAAGGTTTAGGGTTCGAATCTGAGATTATAGGTTGTCACAATGGACCACACACACACACAAATGAAACAAAACACAACTAAACAAAACAAAAAACAACAATAGCAAACACAACAAAACGAGTTAAAGAATACCCTCAATTGGAAGGATATGTGTTGTCATAACAACGAACAATACTCACAGTCCAATTAAATGAATCAGATGTTCTTAACTTCTTTTGTTAAGAATAGCTGTGACACTTCTTGCTAATTAACTGTGTGTAGACTTAATACAGTGTGGTAGATTACGCACGCATGCATGTAAGATCCGTAAAATGAGAGATCACTATGTACACATTTATTTTACTGACTTTCACTGCTTTATTTAAACTATTTTGTTTATTGAATTTAACCAGAATTAACCATTTTTATAGCAGTTTTAAGTTGTCAGAATGTGTTTCACTGATTTCAAAAATCCAGTCGAGAGACAGACACCATTTTGTTTACATGTCATGTAGTCGCTAGCGATCTTCAAAATAAAATAAAATGACATTTCTTACATTTAACATGGCGGTAAGATAAATACGTTGCATGCTTCTCCCTCGGGTAATACGGTCTGATGTACGCCTTTTTGTAGCAGTGTCATCCCTCGCCTACCGGCTCGGGTGACACTGCTACAAAGAGGCGTACATCAGGCCGTATTACCCTCGAGAGAAGCATACAACTTATAATATTGCAATGTTAATTAGGTGACGGTACACACTGCTCAAAGTATTGACAAGAGCATACAATACACGATCATTAAGGACATAATTACATGCAAGTGCGATAGTCATACATCCGTAACAAAACACTGAACGCATAGAGTCAGGAAGTACAAAAGTAATGAATGAAAAAACAAGTGATGCCTAATGATAAACTGATTCACTGATTACGATCACCAACAAAAGTGCTATTTTTCTAGCTTATTTCACAGTAGTTTATCTTGCGTTTTATCTTAATGTACATGTTCAGTACGGTACGTGTATATGCTCAAATATTTGAAAAACTATTATCATACAAAATAATGCAAAATATATAGGCTTCCCTTTAGTACCAATCAGTAGCGATTTGCCAAGACCACACCGTCATGTAAGTACGGTGAAATCATGTTTGTTTTGTGTCCTGCTCGCCCACAGTGTGTTTTAATGTTTCAGTAACATACAGCGAAATTACCACCCAAAAAAATAAAATAAAATAAATAAATACAACTAAATAAATAAATAATATTTTTTTTAAACATTTGAAACATCCTTTCAGCATGTTTGATCTGATATGATGAACAGCGTGGTCAGATTATGTTTCAGCCATACCTGTCCTTCACGCAAAGCTTGAGTATATCACACGTGTCACGGCTTGTATGTTTTGACCATGGTAACGGGGTTTGTTAACCCACGTAACACTGTAGGGCTTTGTTGGTTAATTTTGGAGATTGCGTAACGTACTTTATTTGAAAAAGAAAGACCTATGCATGAGAAACATAATTAATATTTACTTTGTATTCAAGTAAAATACCTTTGCCTAGTTGTTGTTTTCGTTATGATCTATACCGACTCATATGCGGCTGAAATGGAAACGTTGATTTAAACGTATAGCTTTTTTTCGAGGGTCCGCGTATAACTAGATCTATGCGATTTGTAAACCCTTTATATAACAGTAACATACGAGATCAATAATTTTGAATTTTTATCCAAGTTAGGCTGTTTGTGTTATGTTGTTCAAACCATTTAACTCTTTTGCAGTATGGAACAGATGGATTTAAGTTATAAATGTATTCGGATTTGATTATAAAATCTTATTTGAATCCAATGACTTAATCCAGTTTCTATTAAAAATAATCCTTGAACATTCGCGCGCCTATCGAAAACGGATGTGACGTAGTGACCCGTTGGTCATGTGATCTACATCCGGGTCACTTGTTGGTAAGGACAGTCGAGTTGTGAATACTTGTTTTGCTTTGTCAATATCAGGGGTTAACCCTGAGACTTTTACCTTTATTTCGGTGAGTATGAATTATGAGCTTTCATGAACAATAATACGCTGAAGTGACTACTTTAGAAACAATATACAACCAGTTGTTCTGTTCGATTACGCACCAGGTCTTGGCAAATTGCGTGTAATTTTGAACAAGGAAACGTGTTTTCAGCCATTTTTATGACGAAAATAGGTGACCGCTTCGAATTTAAAACAATGCTTTTACCGTAATTGAGGTGCCCAAAAGTAGCATGAGATCATGTGTCGTTAGTTATTTCACATTCCAGTTTGGATTCGATCGTTTAAGAAGCTTGTTTTCATGTATGATGGCATGTTTATACGAAACCGTACAGTCGATCGAATCCAGACCAACCCACGCGTGTATAGGCAGTTCTATTTAGTAAAACAGTCAATGAATCGGGATTGACTCCTATAGTTAGTACACAAATATGCCGGTGACGATCTTGGAAATTAAAGCTCCCGATTGTTACTATTATGTAAAACTAGAATTTAAACTGTTTAAAAGGCCTTATAATTGAGAGACACAGAAAGCAAATCTTCCACGTTGGGGCTGCGTTTTATCAACAATGTCATGTGTTGCACAATCCACCCAGACACCCCTTATCCTTTCCACCATAACTTTATGCAAGGTGGATAGTCTTTTTTTTAAGAATCCATTTTGAAAGACCTAGTGTCTGTCTGTCACTATTACTATGAACAACCGATGAAGGCTTAAACAACTCATCCCATTTCAGACTTTCCCCAGACTTGCTGGAATTATCACTTAATATTCCTCAGCACATTGGAATTTGAGACACTTTGTAAAAATGTTTCTGAGTTTATCTGTGCCAGATTGACTATGTTGACTTGCAGAAATCTCTACTGTTTATCATAGTAATATGGAATGAGTCATGCTGTTCTCTTTGTAAATCATGGAAAAATGTAAATACCATTCCCCTACATAGTAATATCCCAACAAACAAAAACATCACATCAATTGAAATTGTCTCTTACCCATTGTCTTCATCAGGGGTCTGCCACTATTATGTTAATTTTATTATTAATTCTGTATATTCATAAAATGAAAAACAATGTATTTCCCCTCAGCAAACAGACTTGGTATATTGTGAACCTGTAGGATAGCATGTACATTTGTGTTCTTAGTAGGAAACATGACAGTTTTTCCCAGTAAACTAAGATGACAAAAAGACCTTTAGTACATCATGTTACGTTGTGTTTTTGTTGAAGAAATCATACTATTTTCCTTTATCATTGGGGGCGGTGGGGTAGCTTAGTGGTTAAAACGTTCGCTCGTCATGCCGAAGGCCTGGGTTCTATTCCCCACATGGGTACAAAGTGTGAAGCCCATTTCTAATGTCCCCTGTCATGATATTGATATAATTTTGCTGAGAGTGGCATACAATACTAGGGGTGACTTTTGAGGGGGAAACAACTATGGCGATAGCGATAGTCTTTTGCAACATACTCATAGCGATAGCGATAGTCTATTTCGACCAACTTTTGCAATACTATTGCAATATTTTTTTCTCCTTGAATTGTTTCATTTGAAGTCATTTCCTAAATGAATATATTGTTTATATGAGATCAAAACAAGCTGAAGTAGTTTCAGTCTCTTTTCATAACTGACAAAGAACTTGAAACCCAGATAAGTTTAAGAGGTAACAGGGGCGGATAACTCTAAATCAAAGTGAACGAATTTTGTTTTTGGCGCTGCATATTTATCAACGGATGTCAATCACTAAACTATCGATGGTCACACATACTATTGATGCATCAATAGTTTTTCGTTTCTACCATCGACTAATTGCTATCAGAGACTCAACAATTGCAATCCATCGATAGTTTTTTGCTTTGTTACAGCCCTATAAAATACTACCCACTCACTTTATCATTGTAAACAAATGATATTACTTGGAATTCATACAGATTAAAAGTATTGTATATAAACCGCTAGGTACAAGTTGGAAATATCAGCCAGTAGACTCTGGTCTGGAAACACTTGTTTCATTCTGGTACGGTGAGGTACATCCATATATGTCATTCGAGTTCTAACTTTGGGTCAGTAGATGCTATATATCACAGGCTTCAAGTATGCAGCAAAGATATAAGAAAATAACCAAAGCAATGGTTTTGTATTTATGAACAGGGATCATGCAAGACATGTGCAAACAATATTTATTCTAAATGTGATGTCCTTTTTGTTTAACATTTGTTCAGTACAGTGTATAGATTAGAGAAAGATGTTTATCATTTGATAGTGAAACAAGAAGGCAAACTGCATCTGATTCAAGTCATTAAAGCTAATATATTTTATTCTACATGCTAAGTAATAAGTGGATGGAAATATTCTGTAAGAACAGTGTAACTGTGAGCACTGCATGATGAGAAGTAGCATATCAAACTGTAATAAGTTCATGGATTTAAGTTTCAGGCATGTACATGTCATTAAATCTTGGATATAAGAATCAAGACTTTCAATGGTAACCATGTCACCCTGTTTTCGTTTGTAGGAAATTCTAGAATTGTAATGAGTGACTCATAACTCAGATATGTTTAATCAGTGGAAAGATACATCTTGTACACCCAGCCTTATCCCCTAAAAGACAAGTTTCCAAATTTATTGATACGGGTCAAATGTATACATAGGCTAATACATTTGCTGTTGATGATTATGATATATTGACAACTATTCATTCATTTATTCATCATAATCACTCAAACATTGTTTTTGTCTCATCTATTCTGAAACTGGCATTGTTGAAATACAACTGATGGCACTGATCTATAGTAAAGTGATAATTTGTATATATCATCTTGAAATTTCCAGTTTGTGTACATTGCGTTGTTGATACCTAATTTGGAGACTGATTTTATGTTTTGGTGAATCATGTTCAATAACTATTCATGCAATGGTGATCCAGCCCTGCTCTTGTCTTGAATGACAAGTCTCACTGGACGTGGAAATATGTCATGATAGTCACAACTAAATTGATATACAAAACCTGAACATTCCCATGTGTAATAATGTATCTTGCAAAGTAGCATTGGTTTTACCATATTTTTTGTTTCACCCTTTTGTCATGTTCTGGGGCCATTTAAACATAACATCTTGGTTCTTTGAGACAAGAACTGCTCAACAGCAGCCTGTGCTGGTCCTTAGAGATGATTTAATGGTGGTGAGATTCTGTGACTTCATTGATGACTAATCAGACCCCAGTGGGTAGAACTGTTGCTCACTATATCAATCACTTGATTGTGTTTGTCCAGACTCAAGATTATCATGATTATGCACAGGTGATCAGTAAATTGCTGGAATACTGCTGGGTTAAATAGACAAAACCCAGGGCTCGATTTAAGAGATGTTAACCTACGTGCACCAGGTGCAACCTAAGAAGATAAAAACCTAGTTGCACCAGCCAAATTCCAGTTTCACTGCTTTTATTGCATTATACATGTAATGAAAGACATTTGTGAACTTATTTAGATTTCTATTCAGAAGTTTACACACTCAAAAATTGACTTGCATCTGGTGCAAGTCAGACTAATAACTAGGTTGCACCAGTGCAAGTAACAAGGCACTAAATCCAGCCCTGAAACCCTTTCCACATCCAAAATAAATCTCTGCTAAAAGCAGAGTCGATTGTACAATTGTGGTGACTATATCATGAGCAGAGGTACAGATAAGCTGCGTATCTGCGTAAATTACACAAATATTTATGTGAAAACTCAATTCCTATTAAACCTATTGCGTACAAGTATGCTTGAAGTTTTGTAAATGCTCAATAAATCTGATCTTGCATGCGTAGAGACAAAAATGTCACATTTTAGCTTCCGTACCGATGAATTATCGTTTCTCATATTACAGATCAAATATAAATAGCAAACACTTAAATCAACATTTAAACTAAATTATATTTTTACAATTAATGCAAAATGGCAAAATACCCAATTGAGTTTGAGTGCGGTGGGTACAATTTATTTAGTTCCTCAAAGGAAAGTTAACATACCCAATTGAGATGAACAAAAGTGAGTACATAACTCAATGTCCCAAAAAGTTAACTGTAGCTCTGCAAGAATATATATTTGTTTCAGCGGTATGTCTTGATCATATGTTTTCATCCAATCTGTTCTAGGATTCTGTAGGTGGGCGTCGTCGTCCCCTCCCCCAGTAGCTGACAGCCATGTCTGACACAAAGGAAGACAAGGGGGATGATGAGAAGGTGTATGGGGGATGCGAGGGACCCGATGCCATGTATGTCAAGTTAATCTCATCGGACGGACACGAGTTCATTGTCAAGCGAGATCACGCCCTCACATCCGGAACGATCAAGGCTATGTTAAGCGGACCTGGTAGGTTGCACATGATACCATTGTGTTACCATGGTTTGTGTGTCTTCACTTGCTCATGGCAGGGATTTCCTTGATATAAATTTAGCAGAATTCATAATTGTAAAATATGTTGAAACATGTCAGTTAAGAGGATTTGAAACCCCAAACATGGTAAGGCCTAAAAAAAAAATGTTGTGGTTCTGATTACCCGACCGACCCTTGAATTCTGGTGCCGACCCTAGTTTTTTAAGAGGTATGAATAAAATAAGCTTTCAGATACCATTGTTTTTGCCTGGCACAAATGGACATCGGTCATTCTGATGGAGAAAGTCGACCTGATGGCTGCAAGCTTGATTAAATAAACAATTATACATTGATAAATGTGTTATTAGTTCATACTTTACTTCTAAAAAAAATGTAAAAAAAAAAGAATTCCTACCTACCTACCCTAAATTGTAAAGAGGTGTAATCGGAACCACAACATTATTTTTATTTGGCCTAATGGAAATTTCTTTATATATCATGCCTCTGGTATTTCATTGTTGGAAAAATATAGGGTGTTCTGTGGGCATCAACATTTGACGCTGAAGTGTTTAAATTTGTAGGCCTAATAGATATGTTAAATTTTATTAAAACATCTTTGACACAGATGCAACATCTGTTGAGTGCTCATTTCTAACAAATTAGTAACATGTCTAAGAGAGTCATTGATGGTAATCTTTCACGATAATTTCACAGCTTTGCTTAAAGATAGAAAGAAACCTCCATAGAATGTTTCAGCAGGTGAACTTTCTAATCATTAAGAGGATCTCTACACTCTTGGTACAAAACTGAGTCTATCACTGTAACTTCTGATTACTTTGTCTCAAAAACATATTAAACATAGGCTTAGGGAAGTAGCAAGTACAGCCAAACAGGGTTTTACACAGACTTTAAAAAAATGGAAGTCATGGTGTCTCACAATATTTATTCATTTTCAATATTTGGGAGTCATGAAAATTGAATTTTTCTTTGTGTTAATCATTCTTAGTATGTAACTGTGTATGTCACACCACCAAATGAAACTACAGCATTGTTCAATTCAAACAGCCAGGATTACTGTCTCCTCTGAGTTCTCTGGAACAATCTGACAGCTCTGTGAAAGTCAAACTATCATCGAACAATATCATTTTTTATCAAATCGATTTTATTGAACTGAATTGTGAGGGCCACCTATAAAATTTGCGTCAAGCTTGACTCGCATGATAATATTTTGAGAGTCGTTAACAAAATTGTTGCGTCAAGTACGCAGGAATCACACGTCATGTAAAACCCTGCAGCCACATCACTATGTTGTTGTGGAAATGCCACATATCCTTTTCTGCCATGGTATTGCTGGGATAACGCTAAATGTGTCATAGAGCTCTACTCATTCACGGATCCTGTCAATTTTTAGTGCCATGGTATCGAAACCTAAACAGGACTAGCACTATAGCCAACTATAGGAATATTTTGGTTCTCTGTGGGTTTTCGTTCGTACAGATAAAAAAATGTGATTCAAGTTGTCACAAAAATTAAGTCAAATAGTTGTGGAAAGCAGACAACTGATTTGTTGAAGAGCTTCCTCTCAGATGAATATGATTAGGCAAGAGAGTTCACTGCTGGTTTACCTTACAAGCAGGGCTCCAGATAAGGACTGTGCGGCGTATGTATGGATAAAAAATATGCTCAATACAGTAGGAAATAAGTTAGGAATCGTAGCGGATACACACCACAACAATGGTGTATGGTCTTAGAATCATTTACAGACGTATTTATCTGAAACATATCAATCTGATTTCAAGCAGTGTCCCATCTTTGAATGGGTTACCCTTGTCGTGTTCTGGGAGTCCTGGTTGGTAGGAAACTGCTTATCGCAGCGAATTATCTTGGTTAAATTTGATAGGTCCAAAATGCGCACATGTATGTAAACATGGCGGCAGAGAAACAAATTTCATATTTCTTTCAGAAACAAGACTGTGCCTCGACAACTTGTAAACAGTCAAGTAATCATATTGCTGTACGAATATAAATGAACAAACTACTTACTAATATCACTCACTTGTCTTGTCGTAGTCACACTCCATTAAATTCCATTCAGTACTCCAAATGTACTCTTAACTTTTTCCAGTACACCTATATTGAAAAATATATCCTGATGTTGAATAATTATCTGGAGCCCTGTTACACGACCTGCTGTTAAGGTATCCTCAGATCTTTATGGAACATGGATAGAGGTATTACCAACTGCTCATATCAGAGCTTGTCATGGACAAATGGTTTTCCAAGTCACATGGGAAGATGTTATGCAGCGTTATTATATGAATACTATACTCAATGTATATAACATTGTTTATGGAGTGTTTAGTTTTATAGTCCTAAATGATATTTCAGAGCTTCATATAGTTCATGTCAACAATGTTACCTCATCTGTAGATTCTTAATCTAATGATTAAGAAATAAAATTTATGTGTCTGTGACCTGAAAATTAGGAAACATAAGAGGGATGGGAATGACCACTTGAGGAACTTGTTGTTTTCTCCCTAAATCTTGCCAAAATGACCTGCTGACTAGGGCTGCGCAATATAACCAGTTTACTGGTATTTACCGGTTCAGACATGAAAACGATATGTATTGCGATACGCTGATCGAAAACCGGTATTTTAACATGCATTCGGAAAACTTCGTAACACTCGGAAATCCTCGGATATTTCTGTTTTTTTAAATTGTTGGTTTCCTTGTTTCATTTGTGCCAAATATTACTCACATTTTTATTTTGTCATGATTGAAAGTTTTTATTAAAGCTTAATCAAGCATAGTGATTTTGTTGTGTTTTTGCTTTATAAATCAAGCATTAACTCGATTATAAGTACTTTTTTGTTTAAAAAAACTTCTTGCAATATATTGCAATACATATCGCAATATATGCTTTTGCATCGCAATATATTGCAATATGAAAATTCTCTGCAATACCCACCCCTACTGCTGACTATCTGGGTAAGACCAAAGATGTCAACACTGTTGGTGTCAAGTGAGCTTCTTGCAAGACTGTGTTCATGTTTTTCTTCTGTCTTCATTATTAAAACCACTTTCTGTGAAATAATTTCCCTTGTTGTAGGTCAAGAATATTTAATGTGTCCATATCATCCTTCTGGGTATAACCTTGTTCATATTGATTTCATTTTATTTCAGGTCAGTTTTCAGAAAATGAGACGAATGAGATTAATTTTAGAGAAATACCGTAAGTATTGACTTTGGCGATGTTTGTCAACACTCTGTGTGTATCTTAGTGGCTGTAGCATCACAAAATGGTCATGTTGAATATGAATGACCGGAATTACAAGTGAAGAAACTGTATGTCAGCTCTTTGCACTAACTGTAGAAGGTCATTTACATTTCAAATGTTTGTCACATAATACAATAATTCATTTGGAATGCCCTGTGTTAGCCTTTTGTAGGTTGTATGTATGATTAGAAATCACATGCAGGCTTTCACTTTTGAAATACATTGGGATGTGGTAGTTTTTATTTATGAACAATCTTAGTAATAATTGATCTGAGGAGTACTTTCAGACAGTTTTACAATAGCTAAACCTAAGTCTTATCCCACTTGCACAACTCTTGGGATTGTGAAGGGGTTTGTATTTAAGATCGCAATCATAAATTTGACTTTTGTCTACAAAAGCTTAAAGCTTGGTGTGCATATGGACAATGAAACTGGTAACAAAATACTACATATACCTTTTTCTGTTGCATCTTACACAGTTTTAAGAAGGTCCGACTCGTGATGATCCAGGCTAGAATATTGATCTTCAGTAACCCATGCTTGTCGTAAGAGGCGACTAACAGGATCGGGTGGTCAGGCTCGCTGACTTGGTTGACACGTGTCATTGGTTGCATTGCGCAGATCGATGCTCATGCTATTGATCACTGGATTGTCTGGTCCAGACTCCATTATTTACAGACCGCTGCCATATAGCTGGAATATTGCTGAGTGTGGCGTAAAACTAAACTCACTCACTTTAAGCAGGTCCAAATTATTTGAAGGAAGCAGCGACTTTTCATAATAATAATAATAATAATGTGTCCATTTATATAGCGCCAAACTCCACACTAGGTATGCTCATAACGCTAACAATCAAGGCCATTATTACCCCGGATAACCCAAGCTGCCTATTAGGCGCTAGAAGGTTATAGTCATATGACTTTTTTCCACCGGGTACCCATTTTCCTGCTGGGTGAACAGAGGCAATTTTGAACAAACTCACTTGCCTAAGGTGAGACCACATGTATCACATGTGCTTCGTTGTGGGGCAGGACTCAAGTCCTAGAAACTCAGTATTGATACTGTCATGATTTAGGAATTATCTCATGTTATATTTGGGATTACACTTGTACATCTTTGGGCTAGTCCCATCTGGGATTCAAACCCACACAATGAGAGTGAGGTACCATATTGTCAGCACACAAAATCAGCGATCTAACCCACACAATGAGAGTGAGGTACCTTATCGTCAGCACACAAAATCAGCGATCTAACCGACACAGCCATTGCGGCTTCCACAGAAGTTTGGCAACTGGTAGTCTTGAACACATACTTCGTGTACCCCACTGACAAGTGTAAATTGGCTCCCATGGCCGAAAGCTAGAAATACACAATGCCATTGCCATTAAGAAATGTCATATGTATATTTGGGATATACACATTCTCAGTAAAGTACTTTTTGGGGTTGAGTCCCATCCAGGATTTAAATACACCACCCAAATAGCTGGATGGAACTCTGCGCAAAAAACAGTAGTATTAGGACTAGAATCTATGCTTTACTAAGAACGTGTAATCCCCATTACAATTATTTCATGTGACCACTTTCTAAATGGCAATGTGTATTCAAAGAAAAGGAATACTGAATGTTTCATGAACATATTGAAATAAGAATAAACACATCCTTGAATTTGGCTTTGGGTTTACTGACATAATTAGGACAGAAATTAATTTAAGCTATGATGGTAGAATTACCAACCAGCTGCAAGGAATAAGGAATTGTCTTGATTGAATGAGTCACGATTAACGTTATTACTGATCTATACTGAGAGAAACAAAGGATCACAGTAAAATTCTGTGGTGCTGTGGTGATGAAAACTGGATAATATTAAGGAACGCTTGAATTTTCCTGTGATCCTTTACTTGTTTCTCTCAGTATATAATCTGTGGAGGGTTCTCAGTAAGGCTGTAACGATTCACTCGCATATTCGAAGAATCGAACCGTAGCCCTTCATGAATTCAATTCGTTATTCGTGGCCATAAGAACCGAATATTCATGAATATTTACAATTTTTATAAGGGAGTGTGTTTTACTTGAACCCTTATGTCCTTTTTCAAAACGAGATATGCAAGAATGCAATATGTACTAGCCTTCTAGTAGCCTGAGGACCCGTGAAGATCCGGGGTAGAATAGGTCTTCAGCAACCCATGTGCTTGCCATAAAAAGGCGACTGTCTTGTAAGAGGCGACTAACGGGATCGGGTGGTCAGTTTCGCTGACTTGTTGACACATGTCATCGGTTCCCAATTGCGCAGATCGATGCTCATGCTGTTGATCACTGGATTGTCTGGTCCAGACTCGATTATTTACAGACCGCCGCCATATAGCTGGAATATTGCTGAGTGCGGCGTAAAACTAAACTCACTCACTCACTCACTCTAGTAGCCTGAGTCATGTTAGTTTGCCAAGGGCGGACATGTTACTGTCAACTATAACTATTACATACAAAATGTAGGTGTCATGAGATGACTGGTTATTGCTGAGACAAATTAACACTGTCAACATGGGCATTCAATATTGTGCATCAATCATTTAACTACAATATTGTATTCATGAATAATTATTTGTATTCGTTACCTAATATTCGTGATACGTATCATATTCGCAACATAGTGTATTCGTTACAGCCCTAGTTCTCAGTGTTGAAGTGTTGATGAGGTTCATAGTTTTGCAAAATGAAATGGCAATGTGTGAAACTAAAGCAGATTATTTTAATGATACAGACCCCATCTTGCTTGCAAATCATCTTGTGAAGTTGAATCAGGGACTAAATGATCTTCAAGACTGGTCCAAACCAATTGTAAATCTTGATAGTAGCTAAAACAATCTCTTAGCCTAAGATTTCAAGCACTGCAGGATTTACATTAATTGTATCCAAGATTGTTCTGTGCAAGCAACCCTTATTTTAAGAGGCTCTTTCAAAATATTTTGCCATTGCCTTGATTAGAAAGTTTTAGTTTCAGTAGTCTGAAAAAAGGTGTTACATTATTGCTGTCAATACCTAATGGTTAATGTGGTAGTCCATGAAAATGTCATCCCTACCTTTGGAATTATACCATTCTTGGATTCGTAGATATAAGTTACTTGAAACCGCACCAGTCAGAGCCTTATTGATGTTGGTAAAGTAAAGCTTCAGGTGAGATATTTATTGATTTGTTACTTTACTTTCAGGTCACATGTCCTACAGAAAGTGTGTATGTACTTCACCTACAAAGTCCGGTACACCAACAGCTCGACAGAGATCCCAGAGTTTCCCATTGCACCGGAAATAGCACTTGAGCTACTCATGGCTGCCAATTTCCTCGACTGTTGAACTTTTGTTTTCCATAGAAATTTGCCAATTTTTTTTTTCAATAATCATTACATATTAATTATTATTCTCATTGTGCTAGAGGAAACTATTTGGTGTTTAACTGGAAAGTGTTTTAGTTTTTCATACGTGTATCTTGGCTTTCAACTGCTCCCAGTTCGAGCGTTATGCAAAGTGCTTTGCCTCATCAGAGAAGGCAAGCAGTGGGGCGTTTTTGCTATGAAGATGGATTATATATATTGATAATATTAATATCGAACGTTTCCCAATGCATGGAGAGGAAGAGAAGAGGAAAGGCTTTTTCGGGGAAGCTGAATGTGTGAAAGATGCGAAAGTGAAGCAGTGGTAATTACACTCCTAGCCGGATATTTGCACAAGTACCTCACATAAACCTTTCAAATTGCAAGTAATAACATGCTTTGATGGCACCTTGAATAACGTAATACCTGTTACATCTGTACCATCTAGGATATATCATAGTTCCTCGAATACATGTATATCCAATCCAGCATATGGAGAACACTTGTTTTTAAAAAATGTGTACTTTTGTTCTGCTTTAACATCCCCCAGGGTATGTCAGAGCACACACTGCAGAAGGGAAATAGGTTTTATACATAAAGACACCTTTGTGGCGCTCTGTCAATGTGAAGTAATCCAGCGTTATCCGTAGAGTATGAACCTTAAAGCATGAACTTTGCTTGTTGTACCTGGAAAAAATATTTTTTGTTTTAGTCGTTCCTTGCGACACTACCTAGCACAGATTCTACTACCATGCTTGATCTATAGGTCACTTAATGGGTATGAGACAGTGACTTGTTTTTGTACATTTATTCTATTGAAGTTTTGTTATTTGATCCAAATTGACCCCAAGATCGATATCAGAGTCTCATTGAGAATCCATATTTGGTCTAAAGGGCATTCATTATCCCAGCTCTTCAACTAATGTTGGTACATTTACAAACTATAGAGTGTCTTAATAAATATGTCCTGACAGTGTTGTCGTAACATATGGAGCTTTTTTGTTTATCGGACATCGAAACCCAAGTTGTGGCAGTGCCTTGGGGTATTGGTTGCTGCAAGGACTAACATGGTGCCTTGGTTGTTGCAATTCACTGGTCATGACTTCAAATCCAAGATCCGCCTGAAGTATGATCACCTTCCCATCCTTGTGGGTTTTGTGAAAGTGGCAAATGTGCATCACTTCGGTCTTACCTTCTACAATAGGATGAAGGGGAATGATATAACTGGAATACTGAGAGGCCGTAACTCAGGTCAGGCTCCCAGCAGACACATCTGTTGCATTAATCTACAGTCAGAAATATTCCAGCTGTTCACATTGACCAGTAAATTTCACATAACATACAAAGCAATTTAGTCGCCTCCTAGATAATTAGCGCTGAATACATATTCTGAACAAGGTCACAGCACCAGTGAGGAAGATTAATCACAGCTGGGAGCTGTCCCAAGCCCATTGCTCAAACTATTCCCACAGGTTTATCTGGCCCAGCTTCATTCACTGAAGTCAAACTGAGCTTGAACTTAACTTACTGCGGCACTCTCTCTCAGGCAAGAGTTGTGGGGCCATTATGTATTTTTCAAGTCCTTTATTTCCTCAACATATTATCTGGAAAAAAACAAACACTGAAACAATGAATGAAAATACATGTATATTTAATTTTTTCCACTCAGTGTTCTTTCTGACACCAAAAACATTCTTGAAAATGCTCTACTAATCATATTTAATTTTAATTCATATTTTCCACTCACACTGTTTATTTATTTCACTCACACTATTCTCTCTGACACCCAAAACATTCTTGATGATGTCCTGCTATTCGTGTTTAACATTTTTGTTCAAAGCAGCAAGTTGAGAAGGGCCTGCCCATGTAGTCCGGAATATATTCCTCTCAATCTGTAAAGCTATACTAACATTATTATCACTTGCAGCAGTAACAACACATTTCATTGCTCTAACAATGCTCCTATCAGCACTGCCATACTGGCTAGCTATCCAACTCTTGACATCAGTCAGTTCAGCCTCCGCATCTTGTAAGACATGGTCCACAAGCCCTATCTCTTGGGCTGTCCTTGAATCCAGTATTCGACCACTACAGAGTAAACTAAGAGACTTTGTTCTGCCAAGCAGCTTCTCAAGAAGAGTACCTCCTCCCCATCCAGTGGTCACTCCCATTTTGGTTTGAACAAACCCCAGTTTGGCTGATGATGCCATCAGTCTAAAGTCACATGCTGTGGTCAATTCTGCACCACCACCTAGTGCTCTCCCTTGAATAAGGGCAAAGGTCAACAGAGGCAAGTTCCAGAAACGGGTCATTGTGTTCTGCATGAAACAGGACATTTGGTAACCATTCTCAGGATGAAGAATCTCTCTGACAGTCCCAAGGTCGCCCCCTGAACAGAATGTTTTGCCAGCTCCTTTGAAAATGACAGCTTTACCCTCTGTCCATGATTCAAGTTCTGTAACTCTGTCTGCCAATTCTACCATCATCTGGCCTATAATTAAACATTCAATAATCAAACATAGGCAATTACATCAAGAATCTTCTCAAGCTCACATGAATTCTCATGGATAACATATGTTGGCTGCACATCAAATAATTTAATAAAACGTATTCCTACAAACAGTTTTGACACTAAGATACAACATGCATTAGGAGAGGCTTGGTAATTTGACCATGAGATTCTATCAGCCCTGAGTGACCCATGTTCAAGAAAAAAGTCATTCACAGTTCATTATTCTTGTTGAATGGCTTTAACAAGATAATATATAAAAAACACAGGTTACAAGAAGAAAACAAGAAGAAATTTGTTAAAAACAAGCAAAAAATGTGAGAAGGGTTCACTAATACCCCCAAATGTGACTCAACTTCCACTGAGCATCAATACCAAACACATTTCAGTTTCTAGTATTTGTGAATCAAGGGGCAGCTTTTGCAAGAATTGTGATGTTGCTGAGAGGGACTTAATCCTTAACCCAGGGCTCCAGATAATTTTTCAACATCAGGAGTATGTACTCCTTATTTCTTCAATACAGGAGTACTGGAAAACCTTAAGAGTACATTTAGAGTACTGAATGGAATTTAATGGAGTATCAGTAATCGTGTGTTTCGTTTCATATATGCACCACAACATAGCTACTCTTGTGTAAACAGGTCAATAAACAATAAAACAATAATTTTTCAGATAAATACGTCTGTAAATGATTCTAAGACCGTACACCATTGCTGTGGTGCGTATCTGCTACGTTTTCTAAATTATTTCCTACCGTATCATGCATATTTTTTATCCGTACATACGCCGATACGGCCCTTATCTGGAGCCCTGCTTAACCTGTGGGTCCTGGAAAGTTTTGGCTTGATAAATAACATACAGTGAGTCATTGACTGTTCGCTCACCAAATCAGTGAAGGATTACAATTAGCAGCCAGCAGGGAACCACAATTGCATAGGGTATATGAGCGCGTTAAGGGTTTCGTATAACCTGGTAAGTGGAGCTGAGTTCTTGATTTTTCAAAATTTCCCATGGGCTTTTCAGGTTCAAAATATGTAAATTGACAACTCTTGCTGAAATACGACAATCTGAACCAAACTGTGCACTGTACCACTCCTTCAGACAAAGAAGCCGTTGTCCAAATTTGAAAACATATCAACCAATACTTTTGAAGTTATTGGTTGAACAACCTTTTTTCCATCAAAATTTGTAAATTGCTGTAATTCTTGAAAAATAATAAAATATAATCACAATTTGCACAGCACCTCCCCTTGACACGAAGTAGCTGGTCCCCAAATTTAAAAACCAACCAGCCAATAGATTTCATGATATTAGGGACCGTTCATAATTTTTGGCTAGGTGTGTGTGTGTGTGTGTGTGTGTGTGTGAGAGAGAGTGTGTGAGATGATGGAAAAGCATGACCCCCCTCCTAAAATTTATGTACAACATAAGTTATCCCCCTTCCTATAATTTCTAAGCATAGTTATAAACATACTTTTATGTACAAAATTGCTGACACACCCCACCCCCAGTACATGTGTACAAAATTGATCCTGCCCATGCCCCCACCCCCACCCCTAGCTCCCCAGAACAAAATGGGTGACAACCATAGCAAGGGGTTTTCACCAGCAACATATCAGGCAGGTGACACCCATGTGTATTTGCCAGCCACGTGAAACCCATGTAATTTCACCTGGAACACTTCAGGTAGATAACACATGTGTGTTCACCAGCAACACATCAGGCAAGCCACATCCATATGTGTTCACCAGGCCACATCCATGTGTGTTCACCACTAACACATCTGCAAAGCAACACCCATGTGTGTTCACCAGCAACACATCAGCCAGGTCACACCCAAGTGTGTTCACCAGCAACACATCAGCCAGGCCACATGCATGTGTGTTCACCAGCAACTCATCAGCCAGGTCACATCAATGTGTGTTCACCAGTAACACATCTGCAAAGCAACATCCATGTGTGTTCACCAACAACACATCAGCCAGGTCACATCCATGTGTGTTCACCAGCAACACATCAGCCAGGTCACATCAATGTGTTCACCAGCAACACATCCGCCAGGTCACACCCATGTGTGTTCACCAGCAACACATCAGTCAGGTCACATCCATGTGTGTTCAGCAACAACACATCAGCCAGGTCACATGCATGTGTGTTCGCCAACAACAGATCAGCCAGGTCAGATGCATGTGTGTTCACCAGCAACACATCAGTCAGGTCACATCAATGTGTGTTCACCTGCAACACATCAGCCAGGTCACATCCATGTGTGTTCACCAGCAACACATCAGCCAGGTCACATCCACGTGTGTTCACCAGCAACACATCAGCCAGGTCACATCCATGTGTGTTCACCAGCAACACATCAGCCAGGCCACATCCATGTGTGTTCACCAGCAACACATCAGCCAGGTCACATCCATGTGTGTTCACCAGCAACACATCAGTCAGGTCACATCAATGTGTGTTCACCAGCAACACATCAGCCAGGTCACACCCATGTGTGTTCACCAGCAACACATCAGCCAGGTCACATCCATGTGTGTTCACCAGCAACACATCAGTCAGGTCACATCCATGTGTGTTTGCCAGTAACACATCAGCCAGGTCACATCCATGTGTGTTCACCAGCAACACATCAGTCAGGTCACACCCATGTGTGTTTACCAGCAACACATCAGCCAGGTCACATCCATGTGTGTTCACCAGCAACACATCAGTCAGGTCACATCCATGTGTGTTCACCAGCAACACATCAGCCAGGTCACATCCATGTGTGTTCACCAGCAACACATCAGCCAGGTCACATCCATGTGTGTTCACCAGCAACACATCAGCCAGGTCACACCCATGTGTGTTCACCAGCAACACATCAGTCAGGTCACAACCCAAGTGTGTTCACCAGCAACACATCAGCCAGGCCACATGCATGTGTGTTCACCAGCAACACATCAGCCAGGTCACATCCATGTGTGTTCACCAGTAACACATCTGCAAAGCAACATCCATGTGTGTTCACCAGCAACACATCAGTCAGGTCACATCCATGTGTGTTCACCACCAACACATCAGCCAGGTCACATCCATGTGTGTTCACCAACAACACATCAGCCAGGTCACATCCATGTGTGTTCACCAGCAACACATCAGCCAGGTCACATCCATGTGTGTTCACCAACAACACATCAGCCAGGTCACACCCATGTGTGTTCACCAGCAACGCATCAGCCAGGTCACATCCATGTGTGTTCACCAGCAACACATCAGTCAACCTTGACAATATTAGCCTTTTCCATGTGGCACTTTGGCATCATTATCAAGTAAATGTGTGGAATAAGAGGACTTCAATAAGAGCACATACCTGACATAGCATTCATCTTGTTCACATTATTGAGAGTGAGCACTGCTATGCCTGACCCAGAGTCAAGGTCAAGGTCGACACTCCCTCCAGAGTACTTTATCAGCTGATCCCTGATGTCAGCCAGGTTTGGGGCCTCGGCAGTAGAGGACATTCGGACACACCTGGACACACCTGGATTTAGAATCAAGTCAAACAAAACATCATCAATATCTTTAAAATCACAAAATAGAGTCCATGTGTGTCATATCATTTATCATGCAAATCAAAACTGTGGTTACTCTCGATGTGTACAAGAGGCATCATAATGAAGCGATGCTGAATCAAATGTCTATGTTAACACTGCAGTATGTGATTTTTCAAAGAGAATTAGTAACGGTAGTTTCTATAAACCAGGGGCGTATCTGAGCCAATTATTATATGTAGGCAAAAAGTTCAGAATGCAATTATTATAGGTACATATCCATGCTTTCAGCATGTTGAAATACATTCACCTGTAACATTTTTCTTTCAAATTATCATTTCCTTTTTTTAATATGTATTTTTACAAAATTATGTGTAGACAATTGCCTTTTTGCCTTTATGGCAGCTACGCCCCAGTAAACAGTACTCTCACATTAAAGTTACAAGATATCATGAATGCAAAATCTGCATAGTGTATTCAAGGATAATTGAATGAAGAAGAAACCCTATCTTGACTTAAACCTTCTGCAAGGGACATCCAACAATGTTCTTGTTTCATGTGCTCATGTGCATCAAACATTTTCCTGGATGTGTATATTGTTTCAGAGTGCAAAATTTACGCCGGCCCTGTGGTCCCTGGCTAGTAAAAATTCATGAGGACCCCTAAAACTAAGTCTGTAGTGGTCCTGGGGCCTGTTCCACAAACCGAACAACCATAGTGCTTAGATGATCGTAACTCCCATACTTTAACATAGACTCATGTTGTAGCGCGTTTGCTTTGAGGAATGGGGCCCAGGTCGCCATTGAATTTTGTATTGACAGTAAATCTACAAATGTTATTTTGAACCAGTGAAGTACAGAGAGGTCTACTAATTATTGTCCACTCACTGGTCCTGTGGTCCAGTGGAAAATTTCGAAAGGTTTCATCCCCTGTTGTTTGATGGAGGTGATTTGTTTGACACAAATTCAGCTATTACTTCACTTGCTCTGTATTTGGTAGAGCTAATGAAGTACTCCAAAATGACTGGGTGGGCCAAGAATTGTGATTCACTCATGTACTGAAAACAGTGACCCTGCCCTCGTGCTTGTACTTAGTTTGGATTACCTTCCCCATCTCCTTGTAAACATTTCACACACACATCAAAAAAAAAGAAAAAAATTAAAAAGTTTTTTTACAAAACATTTTGATGGTCTCAAATGGTTTTAATGAACAATGTAAGAGTGAAAGCTAATCTGTTTACTTTCTCCTAAATGCTGCAAAATCATCATTCTTAAATTGTTTCAACCCCAATTAATAATAATGTATCCATTTATATTGCACCGAACTCCACACTAGGTATGCCCATTGTGCTAACAATCAGCACATTATTACCCCAGATAACCCAAGCTGCCTGTTAGGTGCTAGAAGGTTGTAGTCACATGACTTATCCCACTGGGTACCCATTTTCTGCTGGGTGAACCGTGGGCAATTTGGAACAAACTCACTTGCCTAAGGTGAGACCACCTGTATCACATATGCTTCATTGTGGGGCAGGACTGAAGTCCTAGAAACTCTCAGGAGTCAAACTGCCAACATGGTCACCCATCCAAGGACTATCCACGCTCAATGTTGCTGAACGTCAACTGATTTATGAGAGTATGTCATGATTTCCATAATGTTTATCATATACCGGTACTTATCTTCCCCAAAGAGAGTCATGTTTCCTACATAGTGGAGCTGTATCACGGCATCCATTGATTATTTGTGGGATGCTTGTTTGGTCAAAGGGAAACATGCCCTTTGTCTTAATGGCGATATTCAGTTTTCACAGGTATTCACTGATTACTCAAGCCATTTCAACTGAATCTAAAGTAGCAAACTAAAAAAAGGAACTTTGAGAAAAATGGATACATGTTGCTATCTGTTCTAAGTTTGTTTTATTGAATAAACACCTGTTAATGATACAATCGCGAAAATAACAGGTGGGCATAACAGGTAAGTCACAGGTCTGCATTAGATTGAAGCATGAGAACAGGGATGGCAACAGGAAAATCTATTTTCAGCTGAAAACTTAATATTGTGTCATCGGGTTGAGGGTTTCTCAATGGATTTAGATGATTCACAATTGAACAATTTGAAATAAAATCCTCGGAAATCTGCGGATCAGCGGAAAATTACCATCCCTGATGAGAAACTTATTAATGAATTTCAATCAGGAAAGTAGTCATAATTTGACGCCAGGTCATCACCATGGAGTAGCCAATCAGGGGCATGGAAATCAATCTCACACATTTGATACCAGTTTTCTAACATGGGTTATTCTTCAATTTTGGTTGGAGTTGTTAATGTCATGCATGCCTACTCCTATAGAGGGTTTTCCCCCCATCTCTTTCCCCAATTATCATTCCCCAGTTCAGGCTATTGTTACTGAACTGTTATTTCAGAAGCATAATGATACATCTAACCAGTGTTGCCCTCGTCTAACTAGTGTTGTCCTGGAATTTTTGCGCTCTGCCTCGTTGTGTTTTGCGCCCTGTCCTTGAATTTTTGCGCCCTGTCGCATTTTGGTTTGCGCCCTTCCCTTTTGTTCACTTCCTGACATATTTTTATTGCTGTGTTTCTTCTTGGATTTGAACTGGCGCAGAGTTTACCCCCTTTCCTGAGTAGGTGAGATTGTTTTGATGATGAATAATAAGTTTACATTCAATTCATGCTGATATCCAGGGGGGTATATTTCATGTTTCAGATGACAATGGGAATAAAGGAGAGAATCAAGAGGAGAGAAGAAACAGTGTAGGCAAATAAAACAAGGACATGCTGCCAACTTCTTAAACAATCGAACTTACCAATAAAAATTATATGTTTGACGTTATATTATTATTAATTTTGTTATATATCAATAATACTGACAAAATTTATGGATTACAACTTCTTTTAATTTGTGAGTGCAACATTCTTGTATCGTAGTCAATTCCTTCCTTCTTGACAACGATACAAGCACTCATGAATCTGTATCGAAACGTCACATTCAAGAAATGAAAGAAGATGTTGTGTATAAAGTTTGTCAATATTGTAATTCTCAACTTCTAAAATGCCACTCAAAGAAGATATATATATTTATATCAATAACTGTTGCCAACATGCCCTCAAATTTCAGATTACGAAGTGTCCATTTGTATGAAGTTACCCTGTCCTTTCTCAACTTCTTATACAAGTGTCAGTGTTTTAAATTCAATCAAGCGAAATCTACCAGATCTAACTGTTGAAAGTCTCATGACCCTGGCCAACATCACTGTTGTTGTTGATCTCAGCTCTTCCTGTAACACACAAAGTAGTCATAAGGTGTTAGGACTCCACAGTTTGTTTGTTGTTTACAACACTCGGCAATATTCCAGCTGTATGATGCTGGTCTGCAAATAATCATATTTCAATTAGACTGCTGACTGACTGAGTTTGGTTTTACGCCGCTTTTAGCAATATTCCAGCAACATCACAGCGGGGACACCAGAAATGGGCTTCACACGTTGTGCCCATGTGGGGATTCGAACCCGGGTCTTCGGCCTGACGAGCCAACGCTTTAACCATTAGGCTACCCCACCGCCCCATTTCAATTAGATATGTATTGACATCACGATCATTGACCTTAAGTCGGAATAGATGACATGTATGATCTTGTTAGCCATTTCTAAAGACAGGCAGGTTGCTGAAGACCAATTCCAACCCAAATCTTCAAGGGTAGTTGCCTTTGCATCTTGATGTGTTTGCAGATTTGTAGTGTGTACAAAGTCACACTTAGACTGCTCAAAACATTAAGGTAATTCATAAACTTGCTATATTGGCAAATTTTATGGACAACAACTTCTTTTTGTGTGTGTGAGTGCGACGTTTCGATAGATTCTTGTACCAAGTAATCTCTGACAACGACACAATAATCTGTATCCAAACGTCGCACTCACAAAATAAAAGAAGTTGTTATTCATAAAGTTTGCCAATATTGTACTTCCCAACTTCGAAAATGCCACTCAAAGGAGACATAAACTGAGAGATAATCCATGTACTGATTGTTATACGTGATGTTTATAATATAATTGAGAAAGAAGTGGGCCACTGAAAATGAGAGTAAATAACGACAGGTGAATGAGACCAAGGCTCCTTGTGGACTTTGGACTGGACCTTCCTGTGTTGCAGAATGTGGTCAATATTCTGTGATTACACTAAAACGTGATCTGTGACAGAACAGATTACCGGCTGATTACTGATAACAGTTAGGCTTGTGACAGAAATTATAACCTCTTCTATTCATTGCTACTTACCAACACTTGTTTCTGACTTACGGGTGTCTGTGCGACAAATGTTACAGTTTACTCTCAAAGTAAATAATACCCTTGCAAATTTATCATGTTCACGATGCCATCTTGTTTGATGTTACAGCAGAGCTATCAGTGTAAGGGAAGTAACTCTCGTTTATTATTCCGTAGTAATAAGGACGGCATTATTTCCATGGTATATTTCATAGGATGTTCGAGTCTCGGTCCTTATTCAAATGTTTCTTTTGTAAAGTCACTTGAAATGATTCCTGCGTAATTATGAATGCGATTCAATTTTTAACTGAACGCGTTAGGTAATGGTTTTAAATAGCCCGTTTTCTGCACTCGTAAGTTCGTGGGTTGTTGGACTCCACACTCAGCATTTATTCCTGTATTTCTTCTCCAGTTATCCTAAGATATAAAACTGGATCTATTGGCGTGTTTGTTCAGTTTATACTGTCCCATTCTGTTGGTTTTTATTGCACGTGTATCGGAGCATGTAAATATATATCTGATGCACTGAAATAGTTTAATGCCCCCATCGGAAGGTGTCATTGACAAAACACCAACACCCATCTATTAAATTGTTAAACGTAAGACCATGACATAAATGTTCGAAATATCGTGTGTTTCCGTCCAGAACAAGTACAAAACGTCAGGTTTTACTGTAATCTGACTGTTTTCTTGCAGTCTGATTAAATCAGAAATGGGTATTTTGTACAATATTCCACGCCGTCGGGGTACGATGACATCGCCATCGCCAAGCCTGCCCCCATATTTGGTCTCCTCTTGGCGAGTATAGGTTGCTGGGGACGGATTCGAACCCGGAATCCCAACGGGTGAATGGGCTCTTGACATCGCAATTCTAGTAAATCTGCACGTTGGGAGATAGAGCTAGGTGTATACGTACTTATCCTTTTATCGCATTAATGTTGCCATGGTGGTTCAACACAACAACAAACGTCTTCTAGTTTCAACTTAACTACCTCTAGATTGCAACTATATTTATATTTTCCTATCATTATTGACATCAGTTCGGACTAGTACAAGCAGCATGCACGAACACCGGCACGCACACTCGCGCACGTGCATCGATATAAATGTATATATAAGTACACTTTTCTTCATAAACGCGATGTTAATAAACCATCTTCATAAACGCGATGTTAATAAACCATCTCACTTCTTTTCACAATGTCTCGTCACAGTTGTGTTTATCCAAGATGTATCAAAATAATGAAAGAAAAATATCAAAATATACAAATATATAAATTTAATTTCCATCCTTCAATTCACTTCTCTCAGGTCTAATCTGACCCCGTATTCTTCCGAAAGCTCCACTTAGCCGTCCGAACAGAGATCTCGGTATATGTGATTTCTTTGTCTTCTGTTTTGAAGAACCAACAGGAGGGGTATCCTCGGTGATGAGCCGGACTTCACTCCCCGCACCATTGCTAGCCGGAGAATGGAACCGCGCAGATATCTCTTCATTGGCCGATTCATTTACATTCACGACACTGTCGCAAGGAGACAGGTCCGTCCAGCTGTCCAGCTGGTCAAACTCCGTGTCCTGTAGGATCTCCACGCTCTCAGCGAGTCCCCCGAGTTTAACACCTTCACCCTCTCCTCTCTGAAGACGCAGTTCCTCTGCCGCCACCACCTCCAGGTAATTCACCAAGCGGTCCACCTGGGTGCTGAGGGATTTGTTCTCCTCTGTGACTTGTCTGAAACGTGTCTTCAGGTCACTGTTCTTCTGCTCCAAACTCTCGACATACTCAGTCAAGTCTTGGACTTTATCAGCGAGAACCATCCTGTCTCGACTGAGCTCATGCTCCCGTTCGTACATCTGAGCCCTGTAACAGATCGTACACTCCTGCAGTAACGACTCGATTTAACACAAAAAGACGACACTGAGTTTAGCCAAATCTGTAGAACCTCAGGTATAAATAATTTCAGACTTTCCTCAAGGCTTTCCTCAACAATAATCTGTCTAAGACCCAAGTCAGTTTGGGTCGACATGAATCTGACGTCATCACACGCCTCAAATGCTGTTCAATGCGGCGTTAATCCAACTCACTCACTCACTCACTCACGGCGATACACGAATCCAAACTTTGTCATCTTCGTGTGTTCTCGTGAGAATATATCGTTATCATGTTTCCACCACTTGGGACCAGATACGTTTCCACAGTCGTACGTACATATAGGAAGGAAAAGGTGTTCTGACCTTTGAAGCAGCTGAAAATTCAGTTGTCTCTCTGTGATCTTCATGGATTTGATGAGTTTCTGAACATCCGGGCTAGCAGTCTGCAGCTCACTGGCATCTGATAAATGTAATGGCAAAAATGTCGAAACCAGGGGCATAGCTACCATTATAAATTATATTAAAAAAAACCGGGCTAACACATGATTGTTGCTAAAAAAGTTGGACAATCCGTCAATACGATCTAAATATAAAGCTTTGCAACCTATCAGGCTTACACGAAAAAATGGCTTGCTGCGTGCTTGAAAACGACATTCATTATTCCAGGTGTGGCTTTACTTCACAAATTAGAAATTACTTTTACAATTTATCGTTCTGGTGCTCCTGTGGAATATACTGACCATGCCTGGTAGCACCAGTAACGGGACAGAAGGCCGAGGTAAGGTTCGATGTCGCTACATTCTGTCTGTAAGGTTCTTGATAGTCCCATGGATTCTGAGGCACTGAACGGACTGGGGTTGGTTTGATCAAACCAGTCGGGGGAGTACTGCGGAATTCTGAAAGGATTAAGTGCGTATCTGTACACTTTCAGAATCCTGTAATTATTGTGTCACCAGTCAATGTGAGTGACGATTACTATCCTAAAATAAAACGAAATGCGAGTGTATTGTAAAATGTGATCCAAGACACAAACCAAAGCTCGTTCCTTGTCCCATACTTTTGACGTACGCAGGCTTAGGATTTTCTAACAGTTAAACGTGTGTAATGTGAAGATGTGGGAAAGGCACAGAACATTAATTACAGATAATTTTTAAAAAGTGTCGCATTATGAATGCTTTCCTACATTTATCAAAGGGGATAGAGACGTTGGGTTGTATCACGCCGAAGGCCCGGGTTCGATTCCCCACATGGGTACAATGTGTGAAGCCGATTTCTGGTGTCCCCCGCCGTGATGTTGCTGGAATATTGCTAAAAGCGGCGTAAAACCAAACTCGCTCGTTGGGTTGTAACTGTAAAAAGGGGTATGGTAAAAGTACCGTTAGTCATTCAAACAATCGTTCATAATAAATACACTGTTAGCAAGTGTAAATGTGTTAGGCCAAAACATATAAAGTATATTCTGTGTACGACTTTAAGCATACCTTTACTGTTTGACGAAAAGGTTGGCTTTTATCATATATGTTGACCGATAAATGATAAAGAAAAACCAGTGTTCAATTTCTTTCCAATTGAAATACCAATCGTTAATAGAATACATGTACATTCACGTGATTGTCTATAATGTTCCTTTACAACTGACTTGTTACGGTTGATAAAAAGAACAATCCCAGACGGAACAAACAGCTGTTACCTTTTGGTTCCCCTTGAGCTAAAATACCCCACACTTCATCGTCTATTCCATCAACTCTCAGCAAAACCAATGCGTCCAGCGTTCCCAAGTTTAACTGGAATAAATACATCAAACTTGTGTTATCTTACTTATTTAACATCATTGACGTTAACTCTCTTACTGTCTTCAAGAAACATATTCCTTATGACGTACGTCTGCACACTTACACTCATAGTTTGTATAATTACTTACCTCCATATGAAAGGAAGGCTGTGTGTTATGTTTGACGTGACATTCTTGTTGAACGGGAGTTGCGCCGTGTTGCTGCTACAGTAGCGATTGACAATGACGAACAATAGCATGACGTCACAATATGAAGCAACTACGTCATCGTAACTGCATTTCCATCAAACGGAATCAAACGGAATTTGCCGAGTGAACCCGAGTGCATGCTAGCAGGTATATTAAGCAGCCAAGTTACTTGAGGTCACTTATCAGAGATTGCTTTCAAAGTCACTTCAACAAGAATATACTGAAAACCGGGTAAAACGAGTGGTATTCTTGAAGTGTATTGTGAATGAGATAACATATGCGAAACAGCGTCTTTACATTTTGTTATTTATCATTAAAATAGTCGCCGCGAATAACTGGAAAATTGCTGATGCTGCATAAAGCAATATTCATTCATTCATTCATTAAATAAATCTTTATATGTTCTTATAGTATTGTACGATATGTAGTTCCAAAACATTTTTGTCATCTTTGTTGGAACACTGACAGCTTACCTCCAAATTAGTCTTCATGCCCCACATGGGCACAATGTGTTAAGCCCATTTCTGGTGTCCCCCGCCGTGATATTGCTGGAATATTGCTAAAAGCGGCGTAAAACTAAACTCAGTCAGTCAGTCAGTCTTCATGCAGATAATCGTAGACAAAGCGATATTAGCGCTAAGGTGATCGTAACTCCTATACTTTAACATAGGTTTACGAACATCAGATCTGTTGATGTGTCACACGCTGAATGTACATATTGGTCTTCATTCTGTTGACCATTTGTTTCTTGGTCCAGGCTTTAAGTACAGCTGCACGAAAGAGTCATGCAAAATCGATAATGTTGGATAAGTCGAAAATCACGAATTTGGTTGAAAATTTCAGAATTTGATCACACAATTATATTAAATATCGCTGTGAATTTTGTTTTTAAATATGTGCTCTAGTTTTCATGATACGCCCATATTTCCCCAAGATTAATGGGAGGTAGACGAGCGACGTTCGTTTGCATAGTAAAGTACTGTTACTTTGAAACGAGATTTTGAATATCAGCAAAGGTGTGGCATATAATGAAGTATTTTTGAGTGACATGGCATTTTACAAGGCCAAATAAAAAGAATGACAAAATTTCAAGTGAATATGAAATTTTGGACTTATCCACCTCTGCATTATTCTTAGGTGAATGCGTCATGTATGATTAACCTGGTATACCTATAGGTACCGGAACGTTGGAGGTAGTCATAGGTTTGGCTTGTCACAATACCGGGTTCGTTTCATTATGAGGTGTCTCGTTGCCGCGATATGTCTAGAATATTGCTAAAGTTGCTTACAAAATATATATTCACGCACTGTGAATTCGCCACTCCAATTGCTATATTTTGGGAGATGTTTTTTGGTTTGTTTGTTTTAAAATCTGATGAGCAATGATTATCTTGTGTACCCAACGCTTTCAAACGTTCTGAATTTGATTTCAAAATCAATTATAATGCAGGTTGTGTGATATAGTCCCCTGAACAGAAACAGCAGGACAGAATAGTTCCACGAAATCTGTTTTAGTAGGTTAATTAGTTCGATATCAACATTATTGAAGTTTACAAATTTATGAACAATTTCCGAAACAGATGGAGATTTGAGTGTATGGTGTTTGCCCATAAACAGTTATGTGGGGTCGTTTCTTGTTGAGGATACATGTTCTACAGACAGATCACTGTGGACGGAGTCAGGGTTCTGCCTGACTGACAAATTGTCCTTTTCTGGAAACCTGAATTTGATTCTTGCGTTGTGGACAAATCTTTCACCCTCTCCCTTGTGACTCCGCTGTCCCTTCAAATGTCCAGGTCCTCCGCAAAGAGATACAGTTGCTCCTTGAGGGAGACCTTCTGGTCCAAGAACTCCAGAGACTGGTAACGGACCCTAACCTCTTGGAGGTCAGGATAGAGACAGTCCATCTGGACCAGGTCAGCCATTATCTGTAACCGGAGCCCATGCTCCTTGGAATGTTGTTTGGCCCGTTGGCTCAGAGCGGATGAAAGTTTGTTTGATTGTGACAAATTTTGGGACCAAATCATTGAATTCTGAAATACGTACAAAACAGTAGGTATCATTGGCATCTGAAATTTATCAATATATTTATCATTCTTTGATATCACTCTGTTTTACAGCTGTTTTTTGTACAATTGAGGGGAACTGAATTTTCCATTATGTTTGAAAACTAAGCTGATCATTCACCTAACTATCGGTTGTCTTTGTGCAAAGCGCCCATTCACTTCGGAATCAAACAGTTCACACTCAGATTTAGACAGAAGTCTGACGACCGGCATCTTGAACTCTGGGTAATTCTGAAATATAATCGAAAGTTACTAATTATTTGAATCGTCTGGATTTACATATTGTATATGAAAGATGATTATTTCTTTACGAGCTGCTGCTCTGGACCCCAAAGACTTTGTTCCTGGGTCACTAATAGATTCTAGGAGCACGATTGTACTCCGAGAGATGTGATCCGTGTGCAGACAATAGCATGACGTCATAATACATCCAACTGACGTCATAGCAACCGAAACATCGGGTGCTTCCGTCGGAAAACCTCAACTCACCTACCTACATGTGAATGATGTTCTGAATGCTTCTCTCGAAATTTCATTTATATATGTACATTCTGTCACCTGCCATTGACCAAGAATTCAGAACGATATTCATAAAATGTGTTTAGAAATGTTATGTTCCTGTGATTAATTTTATCTATTAGGCCTTCCAAATATCAGAAACTAAGGAACGTTAGTCAGTAGTTTATTGAGGAAGGAAGCATCTACCATATCTGCATATATAGCGTGATATGTCATCTACCAGATTTGCATATATATCGTGATATGTCATCTACCATATTTGCATATATATCGTGATATGTCATCTACCATATTTGCATATATATCGTGATATGTCATCTACCAGATTTGTCGAACTGGTTTATCGCGCCGATAACACTACCTATTACATATATGATAAAACAACGCCATGCCGCTATATCAAATCACAGATATACGTGCTTATAGTCTTAATAAGACTTTAATAAACAATTCAAGTGTATATTAAAGTGTCACTTGTTATTTAAGACACAGCATATTCACAAACAGGTAAAATACGCTTGAATTTAGAATTTTCTAAAGCGCCCATAAAATGTCTCGTATAGCTCGTCTACGATTTTTTCCCCCATAAGATTGCCTGAATTAAATAATAAGGTCTATTGCTCAGGATGAAATAACAACATAGTTTGTCATGTTGGTTTTGAACCTGGTTACCAGTGTTACACAGTTAAACAAAACAGAACATTAATGGCACGACGCTTAAAGGCGAGGATGAAAACCAGAATAACAAACTCCTTCGCCACTCTCTCTATCAAGACAAGATTGTAACATGGCTAGCTTAAACTATTGACCTTACGACTATTGTGATACGTGCACATAGAATGGTCTTGTAGTCCGGCTCCGCGGCCACGCCCCTGCATGTGCACCCTACCCCCTCCCCCCATCTCCACGGACAACCAGCTGCCTGTCATCGAGCTCTCGTCAAATATTATGATTCATCAAAACGGAAATGAGTTTAAGACGTGCAGCATGTGAATATTGACAAGCGGCATAACACTAATATTTTCACGACATCTTTGCAGAACTTGTTACTTTTCCGAGTTCAAATAATATCTGTGTATAATTAAAGTGACTGTAAGTTTAATAAAAACCATTTCGCGTGCGTTTACTTTCCGAGAAAACACAGAGAAGTGTTAAGGCTTTGTTGGCCCGTGTGAAGAAACTGTGCACAAACATCGCCTCCCGTCTCCGTACACAAGGCGAGGGAGAACAACGTCATACTGTCACTGAGGTTAACGCTATTAACACAAGATGTTCTCACATCAAAGAAGACCCCGTCTGATACTTCTCTCAGTCATGAAAAAAAATGTTTCATAACACTGACTTCACTACTATGTACTGTATATATGTGCTATAAAAAGTAGAACATGATTTTTTTGCAGTCACTCAGTGCCGCTGTCCTATTATAAACAGACCATTAACCATGAACGTGCTGCATAGATGGGAACGTTTCGAGGGGTATAACGAATTTTAGCATGAGGAGAATTATGGAATAGTGAGGGGTATTTTGATGCTCGAGTTAGTGAGTTGGATTTGAAAATCGACTAGTAAACCGTAGATTGGCTCCATCAAGGCGTGAGAGCTTGATGTCGGACTAAAACTCCAAAACGATGGACGTCGCAGACGTTAACCGCTTTGATCAAACCTGTCGGGTTAACTATTAATATCGGGTTCAGGCACGACTAAGGGGAGCAACTCTGTACAGCGAGTTGTAGCAGGTTAGATTTGGCACTGAAGTTTGTATGTTACGTTAGTCTGAGCTTAGTCACTTCGTTGAACCTACACCTTCACCTTCACCTACACCTTCACCTAAACCTACACCTACACCTTCACCTTCACCTACACCTACACCTACACCTTCACCTTCACCTTCACCTACACCTTCACCTTCACCTTCACCTACACCTACACCTACACCTTCACCTTCACCTACACCTTCACCTACACCTACACCTACACCTACACCTTCACCTTCACCTTCACCTTCACTTACACATACACATACACCTTCACCTTCACCTTCACCTTCACTTACACCTACACCTTCACCTACACCTACACCTTCACCTTCACCTACACCTTCACCTTCACCTACACCTACACCTACACCTTCACCTTCACCTTCACCTTCACCTACACCTACACCTTCACCTACACCTACACCTACACCTACACCTTCACCTTCACCTACACCTTCACCTTCACCTACACCTACACCTTCACCTTCACCTTCACCTACACCTACACCTACACCTACACCTACACCTTCACCTACACCTACACCTACACCTACACCTACACCTACACCTACACCTACACTTTCACCTTCACCTTCACCTTCACCTTCACCTTCACCTACACTTACACCTTCACATTCACCTTCACCTACACCTACACCTACACCTACACCTTCACCTACACCTACACCTACACCTACACCTACACTTTCACCTACACCTAC